ATGACTTTCAGTTACTTTATCATCCAGGAAAGGCGAATGTGGTGGTCGACGCCTTGAGTAGGAAGGCGGTTCAGATGTCAGCAATGATGATGGATGAATTGAGATTACTTGAGAAGTTCGAGGATTTGCATCTAGATGTAGAGTTTCGTGATACTAGTATTAGTTGTGGTAGCATTACCATTACTAATGATTTTCTCGAGATGATCAGAGATAGACAACAAGGTGATATGACATTGAAAAGTGTTATAAATCGGTTAGGATTCGAGCGAGACCATTGACTATAAGATGGGTGAGGATAATATTCGAGATTTAGAGGAAGGATTTGTATTCTGTTGACCAGGAATTGAAGAGAGCAATACTAGATGAAGGTCATCGGAGTCGTCTAAGTCTACACCCTGGTATGACTAAGATGTATCAAGATCTAAAGAAGGTTTATTGGTGGTGCGGTATGAGGAGAGATATTGCGAGTATGTGGCTGCTTGTTTGACTTGTCGAGAAAGCAAAGGTGGAACACCAAAGGTCGGGAGGAATGCTACGACAAATGGAGATACCTGAATGGAAGTGGGATAGCATTACCATGGATTTTGTTACCCATTTACCACGGACAATTCGAGGTTACGATTCGATCCGGGTGATAGTGGACAGATTGACGAAGAGTGCACATTTCCTCCACTGTAAATCCGAGGATATCTATGGTTAAGCTGGCACAACTATATATTCGCGAGATTGTTCGATTACATGGGGTTCCATCTAGCATTATCTCGGATAGAGATCCTAGATTTACTTCAAGATTACGCGAGACTTTACAAGAGGCATTAGGTACCCGACTTAGGTTGAGTTCGGCCTATCACCCCGAGACAGATGGACGGTCGAGAGAGGACCATCCAGTCACTAGAAGACTTGTTGAGGTCTTGTGTGTTGGATAATCTAGGAAGTTGGGATGAGATCCTTCCATTAATAGAGTTCACGTATAATAATAGCTATCATGCCGGTATCGGAATGGCACCATATGAGGCTCTTTATGGGAGGAGGTGTCAAACACCTTTATGTTGGTATCGGGATGAGGAGAAAGTGTTGATTGGACCTGAGCTACTCCAGCGGACTACGAGAGAAGGTCGGGAGGTACAAGAGAAGGCGAGAGCCGCTATGAGTAAACAAAAATCATATGCGGACCGGAGGAGGAGACCTTTGGAATTTGAGGGGGAGACCATGTATTTTTGAGAATCGGACCTACTACTTGGAGTAGGAAGGGCAATTAAATCTAAGAAGTTGACTCCCAAGTTTATTGGCCCATATCAGATTTTGAAGAAGGTAGGTCCGAGTGGCATATCGGTTAGCGTTGCCACCTCATTTGGCGAATCCGCACAATATATTTCATGTATCTCGGTTGAGGAAATATGTACATGACCCCGGTCATGTCCTGGAGTCGAACAATGTGCAGATTAGAGACAATCTCTCCGTTGATGTGAGACCAGTGAGGATAGAGGATTCTCAGCTGAAGCAACTTAGAGGTAGAACTATCTCAATGGTGAAGGTAGTATGGGATCAGAAATCCGGAGACTTCACTTGGGAGATGGAGGATCAGATGCGAGAGTCTTATCCATATCTATTTCCAAGTAAGTTCATTTTCGAGGACGAAAATTTTTGTGGAGGGGAGATTGTGACGTATGCCTTATATTATATTAATATTACTGTGCAAGAAAACTTCGTAACGAAGTTTTCCTCATGCACAGTAAAATTTTTTCTTATATATGAATACTGAAGCGGGGAGGAGGGAAATCAAAAATTTTCCTCTCATCCTTCTTCTTCTATTGTCTAAATTTCAAGCAACGAGACTCTGCTCGTGCAGGATCCGGTGAAACGGGAGAGAACCTGAATTAAGTGGGAAAGCTTCGGTAGAAATACCATACCAAGTAAGGGGAAGTTTAATTCATTCAATATATGAAATTGAATTGTTGGTACTCTGTAAATAAGGAATAGGAGTAGAGATATGAATGATTGGAATGTATGATTTTGAAGAATGTGTGATTTTGAAGAATGTCCGTTGGAGAATTTCGATTTTGATGAAGCTGTTCATCGTTTAAAAGTTTTAGAAATTCTTGAAATTAAGGATGAATTATATAATAAAAGTGTTGTTTTTAACTTAAATTGAACATGTTTATGGTTAAATTTTGATTTGGAACTAATTTGGGTGATTGAAACTGAGAAATTGGAAATCTGGAATTCGAAAATGGCGAACTGGAAAACCTGCAAAATTCGCTCAAGCGAACATACGTCGCTTGAGCGAAGACACCTGAAAAATTTGGGACTCTCGGGATCCATCTCGCTCAAGCGACTAGTGTACTCGCTTGAGCGAAGGATGTTTCAAACAAAGGGGACTCCCGGGTCAAGTCTCGCTCAAGCGACTAGTGTACTCGCTTGAGCGACGGATGTTTCAAACAAAGGGGACTCCCGGGTCAAGTCTCGCTCAAGCGACTAGTGTACTCGCTTGAGCGACGGATGTTTCAAACAAAGGCGACTCTCGGGTCATGTCTCGCTCAAGCGACTGATGTACTCGCTTGAGCGACAAAGCCTTCAAACAACGGGGATGCTCGGGTTCTATCTCGCTCAAGCGACCGGTGTACTCGCTTGAGCGAGAGAAGGAAGAAGAAAGGGATATGGTGTGGATTTTTTTAAAAAGATTAAGGGCAAAATAGTAATTTAATGATTTCGAAAATGATTTCGAAAATAGTTCGGAAATGATTTCGGAAATGATTTTTAGGAAAATATATATATAAAGAGAGAGAAAGAATGAAAATAGAGTATTGTGACATGTGTGGGTCAGACTGAGCCTGAGGGCTGATGCCCAGAATCAGTCCTGAGACGTTATATATTGGCTAGACTGAGCCAGAAGGTCGGTGCCAGAATCAGTCAAATACTATTTTTATTGACTCGAATGAGCCGTGAGGACAGGTGGTCCAGAATCCGGCAAATGTGAATAAATTTTTGTTATGTTTGAATGGTACCCGGGGTGGTACAGAGTACATTAGTGTAATAACTATGTCGGAGGATTCGAATGAGGTCCCGAGACTTCACCGATTGGTCGGGTCGGGTAGACTACGAGATCGGGTGGTGAGAAGTCGATGGGGGATGACGGTGGCGCGCTCGGAGGGGTACTCCGGTATGAGTGATGAAGGGCGCCGGTAATCCTACTCTGTGTGGAGGGTGGTCGGAATGGTGCTGCGGTACCGATCACAATGTGCCCACGAGATGATAGCCTCCGAGTTCGGGCATAGTTAGGGTATACTTCGGAAGGTGTCTTAGTGTGTTGATAATTTCGTAATTGATCATAATATGTAATTATTACTTTTATATCTGTTTTATTATATCGAATGATTTAATACTTACCCCTATTTTTCCATGTGGATGGGACTGCGATGATCACTTTTATGTGGGAGCGAGATCAGGAGTTGAGAGATGGTGATGGGACTACTGGACGACGAGGGATAGTTCGATGGGATAGCTTCGAGGGAGCTACTGTTACATGTATAATGTATAAATAAATGATGTTAATATATTTTGAAGTTACGTTAGTGAACTGGAATTTCAATATATGTTACAATTACAGTAATATAATGTAAAATAAATGTTGTTATTTACTTGTTTACTACTTTGCGAAGACATCATTATAGTAGCGATTTCTATGGTCGTTACAAAATTCAATACATAATTATTGTTGCGGGTGTAGTTTACAACGGATCTTATAAGGATTATTTTTAAAAAATTATTATGAATTAATAATTATAAAATTAATTAAAGTTATTTATATAAATAATTATTTTATAATTTAAAATATTTTTTAAATTAAATAATTTATAATAAAATATTTATTTTTATTTTTAAACAATTACTTAATAATTCCTATTAGAAACCTACATTTATATTTCTGTTCCTTCTATTCTTAAAAAGTTAAAGTAATCACATTTATTAAGATGTTAATTAATTTGTCTTTAATTATTAAAAAATAATGATTATTGTTATTATTTACAGTTTAGCATCATGTTACATTTTATGTATATCCCATAACAGGGTTTTAAACTTATAATAATCAACTTAAAAGTCATAGTAATAAATTTTTTTATCCATTATATAAAATATTTACATTAACATGTCATGATCATTGAATTTTTTTTTATTAGAGAATTTTTAATCTTCTTAAATTCTATAATTTTTGGAATAGACATTTTTAAAATATTTGTTAAATCCTATCAGATCATCATTTTTTATTTTTTAAAAATATATATGTTTAAATTTTGAAAAATATGACTCTTTATTTTTTTTTAAATATATTTAAAAATTCCTGACAGTTTTCAGTATTTTTTTATTTCTTATTATTAACACTAGTTTATTCAAAGACAAAACAAAATGAAAATATTAGTTTAGATCCTAAGGTAAAATAAATATATTAAATTAAAATAACTACATTGCTTTTAAGTAATAATTCAATCAAGTAATGCATTTATTATTTTATAAATAAGGTAATTACTTATAATTTATTTTGATTTTTTTATATATTTGCAATAGTAATTTGTATTTTATAGTATTCTTTTTTTTTTTTTGAAAATATACTTGATGTGACCGTCTATAATTTACTTGAGCCAATTCATCGCAGGTAAAACTTTTAGTCTAGTGGAGACTGTTATTTATAATATTAGAATTTTATTCTCTTTTTACGTGAATTTATTTATATTCAATTCAACAAACTTATTTAATTTCGATTGGACAAATATAAAACACTAACACAAGGATTTTTGGGAAGAGATTGGGCCAATTTGGAAGCAGGCCCAACACTCTTCTCAGTTCTACCCAAAATTTTCTGACTATTTATGGTTTAACGAGCATCAACAAAAAAAAAAGAAAAAAAAAAAATTAAAACCCTAGCCTCCTCCTACATATCCAACCATTTACGAAGTTGAAGGAACGACACATAACAGAGAGGGTTTGTTGTGTTGCAGTGACATATGGAGGGTTCGCGACGGCTGCAGGGACAGTCTATAGGAGTTTTTAACGAAGGAATTGGATTACTTCTATGTCGCTGGTCGGCTCTTCGAACCGCTGTTGAGAACGAATGGGGTGGCCGTGAGTCTCGCGTCAAAGCCGATCAACTTGCCAGCGATATTCTTTCATGGTTCACTCAATCCAAAGGTATATCAATTGAAGCAACAAAAGGCAATTCAATTTTGTAGATTGGAAACTCGGTTTTGATTTGTTTACTTTTTTTATGGTTTTGGTTGTTGCGTTCCAGAGCCACTTTATATTGATGACTTAGAAGACATATTGGATCAAGGTATGCTTTCTCTCAACGTGGAGGTCGAAGATGGCAGCGTTGAAGAGGTAAAAATTGTACTTTTTTTAATTTTTTTTTTTGCTTTACTGATTATTTTTTGTTGAACTCTGTTAGCATCTTTTCTAATAATATATAGATGGGTAAAAGGTTTGAGAAATCATTCACTATACTATGATCAGGTTAAAGTGAATAATATTGTTGTTGGCATTATGCTTACCCCCTTCTTAAGCATAACTCATGTCGATATATGTATGCTTTGCTATGCTCACTTGTTCATATCGTTTTCATGATTATATAGGTAGCTGAAAAACTATTGATTATGCACGAAGAATTCTTAGACGGAAATTTTAGTTCCTTTGAAAATCTCAGGAAAGCCAATCTTGAGCAAACAGCCCGTCCTCACGTGGCACAGGTAAATTGCTGACACAATATGCGCATAATGAAGCTTTACTGTTTTTTAGAATTATTAGATTTATAATATCAAATTTACAGGGTTATATGCAGGATTAATTTAATCTAGGATTCTTCAATTTCTACATGATGGGTTATTTAGGAGGCATGAACATTAAGTTATTGTGTAGCTTTATGTAAGTGTGGTGTGCCTCAATGCAAAATGTCATCTAATGCATCTATTCTTGCCTCTCAAACTACCTTTCAATTTTAAGTCTTGAAAACCTTGCTTCAGTTACTCAAACACAACCTACAATATTTGCATTTATTTGGGTAATTCTGGTATTTCTGTTTCGACCCTTGTTCCACCATGGCTTAGAAGTTGGAATAATGGAATGTATTCACAGAAGCAAATAAGGCCAGAATAATTATATTTCTCTTTATTTGGAATAAGAAAAAATGATCAAGCTTCCTGTGAGTAAATCTGATGAAAGTTATGATTTAAACAAAAAAAAAAATTGTAATGATATAATATAAATGGGGACTGTTTAATCCCCTGCGTATAATCACGCTTCCTTTAATGTCCTTGGTACTCTATAGTCTATACTCTATAACCAGTTCTGAAACCTCCTTTTGTTAGGCTCCAAAAAACATTTGAAGAGCTTTTCTGTTGATTTTCTAGGATGGGCTGTGGGGCTATATGATGCATTTGTCAATTTGTTACTTATGTTTACGGAGCATGTTTAGCTGATTTACCCACATTTTGTCAAGTAACAATCCGATGATCATTCACTTCCCTTGAATCTTAATGTAGTAATAATTTTAGATGTCTTCTGATGTTTTAGATTGTAAATGATGATGAAGACGACACAGATGAAGATGGCGATAATGATGAAACCATGATTGTTGATGATAATTCTTCAAACATGAATCAAGAGATTCCCGTACCTGATTCATACAATAATTCAGTTAACGGGCCCCTGCCAAAGGTTTCAGATGAAGCCGATGATGGATGGGTTGTAGTTTCCAACAGAAGAAATAAGGATAAGAAAAAATAGATAAAAAAATATTCTAATTTTTGTTTCAAGGATGTGTGGTCGTCCTCTCGGACTTTTTGAGGTTTGCAAATCTTGAGGTGTGTAACTATGTTCCGGAATTTTTGTCTTATTTTAAGGTCTCCTTATTAAGCAGAAAAAAAAAAAAAAGAGCACATATTCTGTGAAATACTACATAATTTTGTTGTTTTTGTGATCACATTTTATGTTTGTAGTTTATGCTATTGAAAATTGACATCCAACTTATGACTCACCATCATCAAAATAACAGATTTTCACTCGAGCACTCACACCTGTATCATTCTCATATACAAAATTCGATGTGTACAAAAGGGTTATTAAATATTTCAATTTTTTGCAAACATTTTCAGATTATCTTCAGATACGCAACACTAAGACCTTTTTTTGTCATTTTTCGCTACCAGTTTTTCTATTGTCATCCATAGACTAAAACGCGATAAATGTAGGAGAATAAAATTCAATTAATTTGGTTGAGTTTACATTTACTTCTTTCTATAACAATCCAATTTGCCCTCCCTACAAAAGATGAAAAAAAAATCTTGATTTCAAGAGTAAATAGTGGAATGTAAGCTTAAATATTATAGCTCTAATTTGTATGAAATATAAAATAAATTCGAAAGAGGAGGCACATGAATTGCAGCATGAGAACTCATTTTAATATTACATATTTGAAATATAAAATTATATATTGACAACGACGTATGCATGAGTGGTCTCAAGGTAAGAGTACTACGGGCAATTTCAATAGGAGTTGTGCTCTCACTTTATTTTAAAATTTAAATTAGTAACTCATGTAGCACGTTATTCATCACCAAAGAGAATATAAAACAGTAATGAGTAGTCAATGGATGTTCTTTAACTTTACTAACCCTGTTTTTATATGAAATGCTTTTTAAAATAAAACTGTGGATCCATTGAAGGAACTTTGTAGAGTTGTTAGGTTGAAGAAAAAAATTATTTGACTTTCTTCAAATAATAAAAAAATGATATTATATTGTAAAATGTTCATTTTATAATATAATCTTATTCAAATCATAACTTGTTATAGAACTGAATTTAAAATTTTTTAAAAAGTTAAATTTAGTACATTATTTTTAGCAATATTTAGTACATTTTTTTATAATGGATCTATTTATTAGTATTTGGGTCATATTTAATTAAAATTAGTTCTAAATGTTGAAACTGTATTTTAAAAAACATAATAAATTTTAATTTTAAATATATAATTACCTATATAACTGATTTTAATTATAATGTTATACTAAATAACCTATTTAAAATGTATAATCAGTTTCTTCACAATTTCTAATGATTTGCTTATAATAATTACTTGTCATATATAATTGCTTTTAACAATCTTTCATAATTAACTGGTTAAATATTACCAACCTAGGCAAACTACTTTCTGTAACATAAAAACTTTAATCATACTCCTTAAACATGAGAAATTGGTTAGTATATGTAAATCAGACTAATTTATGAAAAGAGTGTTTTTATTTCAAACAAAAAATATATTAAATTGGTAGGTATCTATGAAATAGTTATGATGGACGAACGAATGGGCTGACAGCCCAGTTACAGACCAAGTTTGAGCCCAAACAAAATTCACATGGAAACTGACCCCCAAACAAATACTCGATTTTTAATATATCTATCATCTTTCAGTTTCAACGGCTAGTTTTCTTCATTTCGAAAACAAGGATAATAATCTCTCTATTCCGTTATCTTTGTTTCTTATCTCACACAAAAGGCGGTTAGTGCACTGTAACGGTAACTTGTGATTTATTTCTCTCTTTCTCTCCATTTGCATTTCACCATCTTCACTTCAACACAGCACTTTCTTCTGCTCTTCAAACCAGGTCAGTTTCTGCGTTCCATTCATTTTATTTTGAACTGTTTCCCTGAACATCTTGGAAATGCTGAGAAGTTTCTTTATGATTTTGACCTTCTTCCCCCAAGACCAGTGTTTGCATGTATTGAATCAGATTATTTGTTAATGATAGTGGGATACTGAAGTCTGTATATTAATAATTTTCAGGCATTTACGTTGTACGGTAGATTGAACCAAGTAGCATTTGCATTAGATGTGTAATGTCTCTAAATTAAAGCTTCAAATAGAAGTGCTAGAAACACAATTCATACCATCATACATTCTATTATTAATTAAAATTCATTGAAAATTACAAAGCTATGAGAGGGATTCATCAATTTATGGCTAAACTTCTATCATTTCTCCTGGTTGAATAATATATATATATATATATATATATATATATATACACATGTTTTTTTACATTCCTGGTTGTTTAGGGTATGCTATTACAAAGCGGAGTGTCTTTAGAGACTTAAAGTGACTTAAAGTTAGATATTGTTTCGAAGATCATGTCATGGAGTTATCCTAGGAAATACTCTTGAATGAAATTTGAGTGACATGTACCCTAATGTTCTTTTTAGATTCTATCATTGACAGTATAGTATAGACAGATCGATCACACAATCAATGTGATGTATATCTGGGAGCTGACCAGACTTTTAGGAAACTGTACCTAGTTTTTATTCTTTTTGAAGCTCTTTCGGTAGCTCTTTTTTTTTTCTTTATAATTATTAAAAATCATTTTTTTAAGTTAATTTACAAATGCACAAGGTAACTGAAATGCTAAGTTTTCGTTTTTACTATAATCAATACCTCGTTACTTTTCGTGATTTTGGTCTGTAGTATGTAACACTTGTTTTAATTTGAACACTGCTTGCAAAACAGGTTTTCTTGAACGTCTTAAATGTAAAAGGAAATGGACAAGGTTTATGAAGAGCTTGATGAAGCAAAAGCAGAAATAGAGAAACTGAGGGCAGAACTAAGAGCCAAGACAGATTCACTTGAGAACTTGAAGAAATTCTATAATTCACAGGTCAATCAGATACAGGAAGCAAAGTTAAAAGCTGAGAAGCTGGATCAAAAACTGCTTCAACAAGAAGATGAAATCTCTGAAGCAAAGTTGGCCTGTGAAGATCTCAAAGGGAATTTGAATAAAAAGGAGGCAATAATCAAACTTCTCAGTGCTGCAAATGATAAACTTCGAGTGGAATGTGATGACAAGTTCCAAAAATGGGAAGAAGAAAAAAGAGGGTTGGTGTTGGCCTTAGAGGAGGTGAGTGAGAAGACACAGAACCAGGAACAACAGATTTATCTGTACAAACAAGATATTGAAAGACTGAAAGGTTGTCTTTCGGTTTCAAAGGAGAAGTGTTTAGACTCGGAGAAAAAAAGTAGAGTGTCCAAAGAACTAAGAGAAAGAGATGACATGTTCCAGAAGTTAGAGGAGGAAAGCAGGAAGGTGGAAGATCAACTAAAATGGAAGAAGGAACAGTTTAAGCATCTAGAAGAAGCACATGAAAGACTTCGAGAGCAGTTTAAATGTAGCAAAAAGGAGTGGGAGATGGAACAATCTACATTGATAGATGAGATTTCTTCACTTCAGACTAGGTTAGACTCTCAGAACAGAATATCAGAGGATTTACAGCATCAGTTACACGCTTGCCACCATGCTCTTGCTCATGTAGAAAGCCAGAAAAAGCGACTGGAAGTTGAAGTTTCAGATCTTAAGGTGCAGCTTGATAATGCTAGTAATGGATACCAAGATGCTAGGTTGCAGCTAGATTGCTTAAACACTGACCGTGACAAAGATATTGCAGATTTGAGATATTTGATAAAAACAAAAGAGGCATGTAATAAAGAATCAAAGTACAGAATTGATAAGCTGGAGCAAGAAAATGAAGAGCTGCGGATGTCGCTCAAAGAACTCCAGGAAGCTCAAATTCAAGAGGCAGGAGCTTCATACTCACAGTCAAAGTTGCGGTCCAAGCTCAGAAGTTTGGAACAAACTCATAAAGAGTGTGCCTCTACTTTAAAGGCTAAAGAATCTGAGTGGAACTTTAAGCTAAAACAATTGACAGCAGACCTGAATAGATGTCAGTCTGAGTTGGAAAATAAAATTGAAGCAGTGGAAGGCCTCGAGATGGAACTAAGAAAGTCTCATTCTTTATCCGTTGAGATGAAGTTATTGAATGAGGAGATGTCTGTGATTCTGTTAGTGTTGAAACAAGGAATTTCTGAGGCTCATTTGAAGCTTGCTACGGGTAAAGATGAGATGAACCTTATCAACAAAGTGAGAGAAGAGGAGATTTTTCAACTGATGAAGCAGTTGGAGATGAAAGATGCTGCTTTGATGAGTGCCCAGAAAAGCATAAATGAAGAACGTGAGATATCAGCACGTTTGAATGAGGAGATGTCTGTGATTCTGTTAGTGTTGAGACAGGGAATTTCTGAGGCTCATTTGGATCTTGCTAGTAGTAAGGATGAGATGGAGCTCATCAGCAAAGCGAGAGAAGAGGAGATTTTTCAACTGATGAAGCAGTTGGAGATGAAAGATGCTGCTTTGATGAGCGCCCAGAAAAGCATAAATGAAGAACGTGAGATAGCAGCATGTTTGATGAGAAAGGTTGAGTCTTGTGGATTCAACAGTGAACTAGAGCATTCTCTGCAAAATGAACTTGATAGGCACAAGGAAATGCTGGAGGAATCAATTATAAGTCAGCTGATCCTCAAAGATAAGGTTTTTCATATGGAATGTAACTTTAAAGAACAGCTTGAAGAAATTCACGATGCTTTAGACAGTGTAATCATTGAATTGGATGAGACAATATGTGAAAGAAATGAAGTGGAATTTGAATTGCAAATATGGAAGTCAATTGTTGAGCGCTTGAAGAATGAACTCGAAGAAAATCATGTGGTGCGTAGAGAATTGGAAACTTCACTTCTTGCACAAGTAGACTTTGGTGAAAGCCTCAAGCAAGAGAAAGACAGCTTGGTTTCTAGGTTGGAAGAGAAAGAGAGTAGCCTGGATTATCTGCAGCAACATGTTGTGCTATTGGAACATGAGCTAAGAACGAGGGGAGAATCGGCGGAGTCTTCTGAGTCTGATAATGTCAGATATCTCCGGATCATAGCAGAGAAAGACAAGATTGTAGAAGAGCGCGAGAAAGAATTTGAAAGTGCTGCGATTGTGAAAGGCACATTGGAAAGAACCTTGGAGGATGAGAACGATAATCTTATCCAGCTTATGAAAGGAAAAGACAGGAGAATGGATGAACTCATGCAGCAGATGACTTCACTGGAGCAACAGTTCACCGACTCCTTGACCACCTTTTCTTCACAGCTTGCTGAGAAACAGGCTGAAATTAATCTCATCCGGGAAGCTTGTGACAAGATTACGGCCTCTCAGATTCTAGCTGCACTTGAAATTGAAGAGAAGAAGCTGATGGTAGTGGAACTTGAGGATGATATACGTGCTATAAAGCAGAAACTGAAATTGCAGGAGGAAAACTGGATCCAATCAGAGCAAGTAGAATTGGGTGCAAAACAAGCCAAAGTAATGGAGTTGAACGATCAAATGGTGACTAAGCTAAGAAAATCAGATGCTTTGCTTCAGAAACTGAAGATGGAGAATAGAAATTTACTTGAAAATGCCACGGGACTGTTATTAGAGAGGGAAAACTTGTTGGCTTTTGTTCAGGGATTCAGTGACAAAATCTGTGAGTTTTCTACTGCAGACACTCTACTAATGGACATGTTGAGAAGCATGGTGAAGTCTTTTGAGAATGGTTGTCCAGCTATGAATTTGAAAAAGGGTGATGGTTTCCTTGTAAAAGAGAATATGTTTATTCAGTCTCCCACGAGGATAAAGAAACTTGAATCCAATTCTGATACTAGATCGCCCTTCAAGGAGCTAAATTTGCTAGAAGAATAGGATGTGTGCAGTCTTGTATTTTCAGCTAGAAGGTCATGTAGTTTGAAACATGATCATTCACTGAATCTTGTATTTTCGACAAAAAGGTCATGCAGTTTTAATCTTGACCGTTCTTTGGATCGTATATGGCATTTATTTATTATTTTTTTGTATTTCATCCTATGTATACTTTTTTTATTTTTTTATTTTAAACTCAGTTGTTCCTCAAATAATCCTCCTCAGTTACGTAGGCATTTAGAAATTGAAATCTAACATATAATGAAGAGATGTAGAAACTAAGGGGGAGAAACTCCATGGCAATCAATACTAAAGGTAGGACAAATTTTGTAAATTGTGGTGGAGCCACAAACATTAGCTGCAATTTATATAAATAAAAAAGGGTTTGTCTTTTATGATTGACTACTTGTGGTTGTGTGCGTATTTAAGAGTGAACTAGGATGATGTTTATTATATATGAATTACTTCTCATTTTATTTGTTTTAGAGGTATTATTGGAAGAAAGTTTTTCTTATAAGAAAATTAGGATCTTGATTCATAAAAAAAATTATTAAATTTGTTTCCTAAAAATATGTTTCAATTCCCACAAATATTTGTTAATTAAGTCTGTGACAGTTTATAACCATCTTTTTAAGTTTTTATTATTAACTATAATTAACGTAACAAGATATTTCAAATTAAGATAATTATTTTCATTTTTTAATTCAAATGTCGATTTTTTTTTAATTTTAAGTTTAAACTTTAATACTTTTAGTCATTAATTATATTGTTCCTTAAAATTTATTAATTTTAAAGAAAAATTATAACTTAAATTGAAAATTATAGAACATGCTAGTTAAAAAAACTCAGATTTAATTTATGGTTAAAAAATTATCTATATATATATATATATCCAAAAATATTCATAAGTTTAATTTTCAAATGAATTCACATTTAAATATTTATAAACATCTAATAAATAATTTAAAAAGAATATTATTAGATCTTCCAACTGACAACTGCTCCCAGTCCCACTGGCACGTTATTACCGATACGAAAGTAGTTGAGGAGTTGAGCTTCCCAACTGAACCATTTTAAATTCTGTAACCAGACACGCCCCATCCCACATTCTTAAAATATTTCTCTTCGATCTCGTAAGTTTTTGCGCTCTTGTTTCTTCGCCTAGTCCTGGATCTCTCTTCATGGCTGGGTTTTTTTCAATTCTCAGGCGCCTCTATCTCTCCCTTTATAATTGGACGGTTTTATTTGGATGGTATACTCACTCACCCATTCTATCTATATCATTAAGATTCATTCATCTCTTGCCCTTTCTCGACTCTCTATCTCTTTATTTGTTCAGGTGTCAAGTACTGTATTTTGTTCTGAAGACATTGAACGATTCGGGTCATCAGCATGTTTACAATGCAGCAGAAAAGCCTCTGCTTTTTGCTCAAACAGCTGCGGTATTAGAGGTACATGTTCAAAAAGTTTTGATTTTTTTCTGAACTATAAACACACCCTTCTGATTGTTTTCTAGGAATATGTTTAAGTTTCTTGTTGGAGTTATCTCAAGCTTTTTTCTAACTTATTTATTTATTTGGTGTGGCTTTCTATTGAATGGTGTGCTAGATTCTTCATGGTTTAGTAGGTGAGTAATCTGTTCTGAATGTGTGGGTTATGCTTAATGAAAATGAAAATTGAAGTTAGAGATGGTTTGTTTGTGAAATTTTGTGCTATGTTCACTTGTGAAGGGCTTGTCAGGTCTCCAATAACAGCGACATTGCCACAGATTAGTTCAAGGCTGTACTTGACTTGGGGCATTTTATGGAGTTTTCCTGAGGTGAAGAGAAAATTGTTTTTCTTTTTCCTTTTTGTTCAACGCAGTTAATTTTTTTGCTCATATTCGCTCATATTCTTCTATTGAAAAGTTGCCCCATCTTTATTGCCAGACTCGGTTTCATGTGCTTGTTACCTCCCTACTAATCAGCTGGTCCATCACAGAGGCAAGTCTTCATGATCGCTCTTTCATGTGATATTCAAATTATCTGTTTAGCTTTTTGTTATTTTGTTTGATATTAGCTTAGCCATAACAAACTTCTACAGGATGGTTACAAGTTATAGAGCTCTTCCTGCATGGAGATGATATTACTTCCTACAAATTATAGATATTACCTCTGTTTTGACTTCAGTAACTTATTTTTTTCTCGTTTTCTGTTTGTCATCTTCCTTAGACTTCCCACTGCACATTCTGCCAATCTTTTGTAATTTGTTGTTATTTTCCTATTAATTTCACCATCGTCTTTTTTTACTATTCTTAAACTGTAGCATTTTCAGAGATGGCTGCTACATGTTGTATCCAAGATTGATAATTATGGTTAAGATATAAGTGCATTAAGTGGATAAATATTGAAAACTGAGTTCTCTGGGTTACAAAAACACACACACACACGCACACACACACACACACACACACACACACACACACATATATATATATATATATATATATATATATATATTCTGAAATGGAACTGTTGGTGGTCTCTCCTTATTGAACTTGGGAGTAAAATTATTTCCGGCACAAATTCCTGTTTCTACTGCCAAAATTGTAGAAGCAATCTGAAGATGTCATGAAAAGCCTGCTGCCAAAGTTGGAACAAAGGAAAATAAACTAGATTGAAGATGCCAATAATTAGTTGCTTGAGTATGTCTTGCATAAAAATGTTAATGTTTTAGATTTGATGGTTAAAACTTAGAAGAACCTAATAGTATGAAATTTGAAGCCTTGAATGGGGTGACAACAGTTTTTTTTTGTCTTGGTGCCCTATTTTCCTCTGTAATTGTATTGTATTCCTTTATGGTATCCATATCCCTTTGTTTCTATTGTGAAGTCATTGATTAAAAATGTAAGAGAAGTATTAATGAAGATAAGTACTTATCTTGTTTGTTGTTACAATTGCAGATAATTCGCTATTCTTTCTTTGGATTTAAAGAGACTTTTGGATTTACTCCATCATGGCTTTTGTGGCTTAGGTACGATGTTTGATTGTTAAGCCTTGTGCATTAAGTAGACAAGTCAATTTTTGCTCTTCCATCAACTACAAATTGTTTCTTTGCAGATATAGCAGCTTCCTAGTTTTGTATCCAACAGGCATAAGCAGTGAAGTTGGTCTAATATACATTGCCTTACCATTCATTAAGGTAAATAATTTAAATACCAAATGTTCACAAAGCCTTTTAGAATCATTAGATCTAAAGCTGCAGGGTGTATGTTGTCTTTGTTAATCATTGTTGAAAAGTGATGCAAATTTCTAGAAAGGTCAAGAATATGAAGTCCTAGAAACTACTAGAAGTTTTTCTAAATCTAGTCAAGACAAATATCCTCCTCGTGGCATTTGCAAAAAGACAAGTCATCTAGAGAAAGATTGTTGGCATCGTGGAAAATCACAATGCCAACACTGCGAAAAGTTTGGACATGCGGTTGAAAATTTGCCATCTATGCTACCTGAGACTCAAGTGATGAAACAAGCAGAAGTTGGTACTTGGATAACGGAGACAATTATCACATGGCCAAAGATGAAAATATTTTTAGGGACATTGATGACTCTGTCAAAGTGAAAGTATAATTGGGAAATGACAAACTAGTAGAGTCAAAAGGAAGAGACACTGTTGCAGTGGAGACAAAGAAGTATACGAGATTTATTGAAAATGTTTGCTTGTTCCCAATCTTAAAGAAATTCTTTTAAGTATTGGCCAAATGATGGAGAGAGGCTATGTTCTTTATTTGAGAGAAGATACATTCAAAATCTATGACAATAAAAGACAAGAGATAAGAAAAGTTAAAATAAAATAAAATAAAATTATAAGCTTCAATATACTATTGATATTGCCATGAAAATCAAAGTTGATGATTTATGGCTTTGACATCAAAGGTTTGGGTACTTCAACACCCAAACTTTGAAGTTATTATATCAGAAGAATATGATGAGGGGACTCCCATGCCTAAAAGAGAATAATGAAGCCTATGAGTTTTTGGATCTATTTGTTACATACATGTGTCATATTAGAAAAGGTACAAATTAGAAGACAAGACTATACAATGAATCTTCTTGGGATATAGTACACAAACAAAAGGCTATAGAGTTTACCTACAACTTACAGATAAAGAAGCTGACCATCAGTAGAGATGTTGAAGTTGATGAAAATGCTTCTTGGAATTGGTAAGGAGGAAGACTCACAAGAAACAACATCTTCATTCCAATACAACAATCTCAAGAAAAAATTCAAAAAGTGACAGGAGATCCAAATTTGCTTACTTTATCTACACAAGAAGATTTTTTCACTAGAGTTTACTCTTAGGGAGAGTAAGTAAGAGACTTGGTGGATATATATGAAACATGCAACATGACAATGCTTGAGCCTGAAAGCTATGAAGAGGTTGCAAAGCAAAGAGTTTGAATTAAGGCAGTGGAGGAAGAAATTAAAATGATTGAAAAGAACAATACTTGGAAACTAATAGATTGTCCGCATGAGAAAGACGTAATTGGATTAAAATGGGTCTATAAAACAAAGTTCAATCCTAACTGTTAAGGTTCCAACCTAAAACTAATTGATAATATGACATGAGACAGACAATGTGAGACTTCTAACACACCCCTCCAATGAGGCTTGTCGGACTAGGCAAACAGTATTTTAAGGGCAGCTTTGGCCCAAGACAACAACAAAGGGTACTTTTGACCCACAACAAAAGGAAAACTTTTGGCCCAAGACAATAATCAAAAAGAAGTTAGGCTTTGACTCTGATACCATGCTAAGATTCCAACATAAAATTAATTGGCAATATGTGAAGTAGTCTAACAAATATTTAAACCATATCATATGACATGAGGCAGACGATGTGAGACTTCCAACACTAACAACACCATACAAAAGCACAAAGCTAGGTTGGTAGCATAGGGCTATTTACAATAACCTAGAATCGACTACAACAAGACATTTGCCCAAGTTTCTCGCCAAGACATAATCAGAGGTTTAATAGCTCTTGCAGCACAAAAAGGATGGAGCGTTCACAATTGAATATTAAATTAGCCTTTCTAAATAGTGTACTTGAAGAAGAGATGTACGTGAAGCCACCACAAGAAATAAAGGAAATGAAGTTAAAGTGTTAAGACTAAGAAAAACATTGTATGGCTTAAAGCAAGCTCCTTGAGTATGGTACAATTGAATTGATTAGTATTTCACCGATCAAGGATTTAGCAGGAGCAAAAGTAAGCCAACATTATACATCAAAACTCAAGGTCAGGATGATCCTTTCATTGTCTTTTTATATGTAGATATTTTATCTACACAGGAAACAATATAGAGATGATAAGAAAATTCGTAGAAAACATGATGAAAACATTTGAGATGAGCGATCTTGGCCCAATGAATTATTTGCTCGATATAGAGATATGACAACAAAAGTAAGGAATATTTATCTCTCAAAAGAAATACACTTAGGCTTTATTAAAGAAGTTCAAGATGTATGGTTGCAAATTTGTGGCTACTCCACTCTTGATAAATGAAAAGTTACAAAAAGATGATGAAGTACCCCAAGCTAACGCATCACACTACAAAATTTTGATTGGAAGCTCATTATATCTTACAGCTACACAGCCAGATATCATGTATGCTACAAGCTTTCTATCAATGTTTATGCAAAGACCAAGTCAAATTCACTTTGGAGCAACAAAAAGAATTTTAAGATATCTAGAAGACACAAAGGAATTTGGTATATGGTACAAAGTCATGACCAAATCAAAGTTGATTGGCTATACAGATAGTGGTTGGGCAGGATCTATCAATGGCATGAAGAGTACGCCAGGTTATTCCTTCTTACTAGGATCAAGATTTTTCTTTTGGACATCTAAAAAGCAAGCAATAGTAGTACAATCAACAACAAAGGCAGAGTACATGGTAGCAGCTGAAGCTACAAGTTAAGTTGTATTGCTCTGAAGAATACCTGGAGAGACGAGAAAACAGTAACATGGATCTACTACAAATTACTGCGATAATAAGTTAGTGATAACAATGACAAAATCTAGTTCATCATCAAAGAACAAAACATATTAAATATCACTTCATCAAAGAGGCTAGAATGACTAAATAAATTTAACTTGAGTATTGCGCTACAAAAGATCAAATTACATACATATTTACCAACGCATTACCAAGAGTCAAGTTTGAATAGTTATGATTTATGCTTGGAGTTACAACAATTTGCATCAAGGAGGAGTGTTGAAAAGTGATGCAAATTTCTTGAAAGATCAAGAATATGAAGTCCTAGAAACCACTAGAATTAAGAACTTCATGTAAGTAATTCTCTAGAAATTTTAGAAAAACCTAGAAAAATAAGTTAAGATGTAATATAAGTAGAATTATCCTTAAGCTCCTAAAAGATTCTAGAAGGGATGGTTCATGCCTATATACAGGTGGTGGCTCCCTCACTTGTAAGTCAAACACTTCTAACATTAATTACTATCTTCTCTCATACAAACTTTCTCCTACTTGTCCACCTCTTTCTAAAATTTATTTTCTATAAAGTACACTATCATCTTTTCTATTCTTCCTAAAATACTAACAATCATCAACATTTATCTTGCCCTTCTCCTCTCATTCATAACTCAGTTAACAAAGTTCAAATCAACTCAGTTAACAAAGTTCAAATCTTGTAAGAGAAAAGGAGGATAATAATCTATTACTTATGTTACTATGGTGGAAATATTTGATAAGATAGTTTTTCAGTAAGTTGGAATTTGGAGTTAATGACAGTATTTTCAGGCTTCTGGGAAGTATTGCATAAGGATGCCAAACAAATGGAACTCATCATTTGATTACTCTTATGCCGCTATTGCTGCAATGGGAATCTACGTTCCAGGCATGAACAAAACCTCATTTTCATTGCTAATGATGGCCTTAGGGTAATATTTATTTAACTGACACTGTATTTTAACTGATTGAGTGGCATAATTCTATGCAGGTAGTCCTCACATGTATACATACATGCTTGCACAGAGGAAGAAAGCTCTCTCCAAATCAAAGAGAGAGTAATGCAGTATCTGTATTTTAAACTGATTTTGGGTAAACATAGGATATACATATGTCATGTCTTGGTTTGGATCCAGGGACAATTGCTTTTCTTGTTAATGTATCATTAAAAGGCAATATGCCAGAGATAAAATAAATTACTTTATTTGTAGCTTATAGTTAGTTGACTGTTGTTTCTCAATCATAAGCTAATAGATGTTTACTCAAAAATTGTTTTACTAGAAAACCACAATTAGTCAATAAGTAAAATAACAATGCTTAACTTGTAAAACACTACTGACCAATAAAAGGTTTAACATAACCAACATAAATGTTATTGGTTGTTTATCTTAATTCCCTTGTCTTTTTTTTTTTTTTTTTTCTTGTCCTTTTTCTTTCTTATGTGTTGCAAAGGAAGTTCTCCCAACTCAGGTCCTGAAATTTACATATTACTTATTTTACGTAACCTACTGAGACATAAAACAAATAACCAAGTAAGCATGATGCTTATTGGGGATAACTAAAATGGAAAAATGAAGAAGAAAAATAAGATAATGATGGTGATGACGTGAACAATGAAAATAAATTATGATGCTTTCAACCAACCATATTAGTTGTGTAGCTTAGGATTACCTTTTGTTTTCTTTAATAATAACATGAGTTCAATGGTTTAATTACTTTTATATATATATAAAATTCTCATTACAAGTTTTGATTTTTGATCTTACGTATTACGCAACAAAATGGTTGTAAGAATGGATTTTGAAGATATTAACACAACCGATGGCACCGAACTTCAACATTATTCAACAGTAAATAATGATATATAGACAATTTAATGTAAATAAATAAAAGAACAATCACTCTACTGAATATAATAATAATAATAATAATAATAATAATAATAATAATAATAATAATAATAATAAATTATTCATATTCCCTCTTCTTTTTCGTTTTCTCATATTTTTCCATGTTGTCTATGAATTGTATGCTTGAAATGGATTGTCAACATATATTTTTTCTTCAACAATGTCCTAAATTATTTGAAGAGAAAGATTTGGTATGTCAAAGAATTAGTTTATAACTTTAAAATTGACATGTAAAATTTTGAACAATAGAAAGAATAAAAAGTTAATGAATGGTATCAATGATATAAAAATAATTTATTTATCTATAAGTTGATATTTAAATTATTATTATTATTATTATTATAAGTAAAAGAAATATTTTTATTTGTTGAACATTATTTTAATTTAATTAACTGATGAAAATGAATTATATAAATTATCATTTTTTTAAAATTTATTTATTGAAATAGACATTAAAACCAATTATGGTTAAAATGAAAAGTTAAAGAACAGTGTTAACATTTATTTAAAGTTAAACATATTGAAAAGTTTCTCTTTGATACATATTAATTATTTAAAACACTTCGGTCATATCCTTTTGATACACGTATAAACATATCACTTTAGATCATGTTTATTGGTTAATGATAAACAACCTTTTCAGTGAATGAAAGGCCAATATCATTTTAATGATGGAAAAATTTTCTATTCGTTATATAACCATATCTATTTTATTATTTGAATATCAATAAATAATACTTTTGGTTAATTGTTTTAACTTCTTAAAGAAATTTTAAGAAAAAAAATAACGCAACAAAGAAAATAATTTTATATATATAAAAAAAAGACAAATGAGTTTCTGCTAAAGGTTTTATATATGGTGGCAAAGTGAGTTCGATTAATCTTTTTTGCAATGTTGTTTATCTCATTCATTTTAAATAAATATAATTTTCATAATCTTCTTTAAAAACAATAACATTTATAAGTACGGTCAATAATACTATATCAGAAATATTTTAAAAAAATGTAATATTTGATATGGTTTAATACTTTTAATACAACAATAACAAAAAAAATTATTGAGTAAATAAATGAAACATTAATATATTTTATTCACATTTTTGAATACTTGTATTGAAACATTAATTTTTTTCATCCACGATATTTAATTTCAAAAAATATACATTTTTTTTCGAAGAACTCAACAAGTTAGATATAGACAACAATGAAATGTTACCTTGTAACTTAAATTAATAAAACTAAGTGGTTTTTTAAAACAGAATTTTTTTTATTGTAAAAAAAAATTGGGACCTTAGATAACATATGTTCTTTCGTGAAGATTTAAGATTGTTTTTAGTTATTTTATAGTTATTTTAAAGGAGAAATACTGTACTAGGAATGGGCGCGTAGAAAAAAAAAATGCAGAAACTTTGGGAAGAAGAATTTGACGTGAAGGTGAAGGCAAGTAGGAGGAGCAACCCTTCATGTGCTTTGCCTTATCCTATAAAACCAAACTCTTAAGACAGAGGGAGAGTGTGTAATAAGTAAGTGAGAGTGAAGGGTGAACAAACAAGAGGCACAAAATATTATGTGAGCCAGAAAAACCCAACAACACACTGTCTCACTCTGGCGCAATCAAAACGACGCCGTCCATACTCTACAAACCAAAACCACCTTCTCCCTCCATTCATTATCACACACCAAAACTAAACCAAAAAGCCAGAAATCATATCATAAAAACCATAAAGCTCCTCTTATTTATTTATTTATTTATTTATTTATTTATTATTATTATTATTATTATTAATATTATTATTATTGTTATATATTTTTGTATAAATATATCGATATTTATATTCCCTTCCGCATCCCCTTTCCATTTCAAATTCGAAGCCACGCAATCTCAAGTCTGATTCAAAATGGCGGAGCAGAGGAACCGTTGGAGCTGGGACGTCACCGGCTTCGACCAGTGGAAGTCGTCGCCGCCGTCCACGTCTCCGACGCCTTCGGTGGAGCATGCCGATCGGAAACCTACTGCGCCGTTGGTGCGGCGCTACTCTATTTCTTCCACGTCGGTTCTTCCGCAACCCAAGCAGTCCGTGGCCTTCAAGCTTCAACGGTTGAAGGACAAAGTCAAGGTAATGTGCTGCAGTTTTCTTTTGTTCTTCTTCGTAACGGTGATGTTTTGGCTCTCTTCGTTTTTTTTTTCTTGATTCGGAAAGTGTTCCAGTGGTTTTAGTTTTTGCTTCGTTGTTAGTGCTCGCAAGAGCGACGTTTTAGCTCGTGTTTCTGCTGCTGCGTGCTGCGTTGTGGTTTGTACGAGTAGTTTCAGCGTGTGAAGAAAGGTAAGGTGCAACGCTTGCAGAGTTTGGAGCTCTGTAAAATCTCGACGTACTACGCTGTCGTGGCATCGGAAACTGCGTAGGGTTTGTTTTAGAGTTAAGCGTTAAAGGATGTTCTCACTTAACATGAGCGCGTTGGTTTTTTGAATGAATAGAGGAGATTTTGTGTTCTCCATTGTCCTCTTGTGAAGGCCGATTAATTTCTGGGAGGGCTATTGCAGCTTGTATTGTTTGTAGTACTTGGTGATTCTGTGATGACGACGACACATGGCATGCTCCTACGGTGTCAATATTTTGAATTCAGGCATAGGGTGTTTTACGGGAGGCTTTTTAGAATAATAAGATATGAGCAAGAAGAATTCGACGTATGAAGAGTTTTGGATCAAATCATGGATGCTAAATATGTGATTGTGCATGTTTTTTAAATTGTAGTTGTAAGAAAACAGAGTACCGATTGTGCTCGTTTGAAAAAACAGTAGAGTGGTATATTTCGTTTGTTTCCCATGTATGTTATTTGACAAGTATAAGCTAAATATAGAGTGGCATATTGAAAATCACTTTTTGTAATAGAATGTGCTGATAAGAGATTTTTGGGTAGTTTGGTGTTATGTTCAAACCTCCATGCAGCTATTTATCAAGAAAAACATAAGTGGGCTAGAAGATGTAATGCTTTCTATACTACTTAAACTTTTAAAGTATTTGCTAATTCTTGCTGGCCTGTCTTTTGCTGGTTTGAGTTGTTGTTTTTCAAGTGGCAACCTTGCCAATTGTTCTGGATCATACTATTTTGGGTTTAGTCATGTGTTAACAATCACATCAGATATTTTGCACAGCATGCTAGAGAAGACTATATGCAATTAAGACAAGAAGCAAATGAACTTCAAGAATATTCAAATGCAAAACTTGATCGAGTTACACGATATCTGGGTGTTCTTGCAGAGAAAACCCGCAAGCTAGGTAAGAAATTAATTGATCTTGACTCCTGGCCCATGCTTAAATGAGCAGAAGGTTTTGGAATATTGACATTTCTCCTGAAAATTCTTTTGCTTGAATGAAATACTTAATTTCAGGACAACATGAGACTCATTCTTTAAACCCGTGTAGGGAAATGAGAGTCTTGGTTTTTTCAGTTACAAGGTCTGATATATGCTACCATAATAGATAATAGATTTGGCAGTTTTAACATTTAGTTTCTAGAAATAAAAGAAGTTAAACAAGATTTTATATTTTGTTTCTTGTACCCCATAATTTTTTGGGGAAGCAAGGTTTCTCTGTTTAAAACTTCGGTGCATTTTTTTTTTTCTTTTCCCTTTTTTGTGAGGTTATTGTACTATTGGTTTTCTTTCACTAAATTTTGAAAATTGTCTACATGTGAATTTCAGATCAAGTTGTCCTTGAAAATGAAGCAAGAATATCGCCTGTGATCAATGAGAAAAGAAGATTATTCAATGAATTATTAACATCTAAAGGTAGTTTATGTATATACATTTTTCTTTAATATTGCTCAGTTTCTTTACATACACTCTTTTTTGGTCTCCCACTGGCTATTTATACAGTAACTGGAACTGAAGCTGGTTGAATACACTATGTTCCTATTATTTAAGCATACTCATATATAAGCTTTTCTGAGCTGAAAAATGCAGCAATTAATGCTATTTGCAGGAAACATACGAGTATTCTGCCGGACTAGGCCATTATTTGAAGATGAAGGTCCTTCAGTGGTTGAATTTCCAGATGACTATACCATTAGTGTAAATACTGGTGACGAATCCTTGTCTAATGCTAAGAAAGACTTTGAATTCGACCGTGTTTATGGACCTCATGTGGGTCAAGGTAAAGAATTTTATCTTACTATCTTTTTTGAGTTCAAACATTGTCTTTGATATGTACTTTGTAGATTACTTATTATCCTTTGATTTTTTTTCTTTGCAGCTGAGTTATTCAGTGATGTTCAACCACTGGTGCAGTCAGCTTTGGATGGATATAATGTTTCCATATTTGCATATGGACAAACCCAGTCTGGAAAGACACACACAATGGTTGCTCTTTCTTTCTTTCTTTTGCTATTTGTGTGCGTGTGTTCTCAAATCAAGTCCTCTCAATTAGTTTACAATAAAATAAAAAAAGTTGGAACCTGGAAGAGGGTTTCAAATTCAATGTTGTCTAACAATTAAAAATGAAATGGCTGTCCTATGAGTGAATTATTTTTAAATGTTTTTTCTTTTTATTATTCAATGATGATTGGCCTAATCAACTGCTTTTTGATGTTCAATCATTACTCCCAGGAAGGATCAAGCTATGATCGGGGTTTATATGCTCGTTGTTTTGAGGAGTTGTTTGATTTGTCCAATTTAGATTCAACCTCTACTTCTCAATATAAATTCTGTGTTACAGTTTGTGAGCTATATAATGAACAGGTCTCTTTCTGTTTTCACTTATTACATACACCCTTCCTGTTGTAGTTCCCTGTTTTCTGTTTGTTCACTTAGGATTAGTAACTATTTTTATTATATATCCTTATATTTGTTTTCAGACAAGGGATCTATTTCTGGAGGCAGGGAAAAGCACTCCTAAACTCAGCTTGGGATCACCAGAATGTTTTGTTGAACTGGTGCAGGAAAAAGTTGACAACCCTCTTGAGTTTTCTGCAGTTTTAAAAACTGCATTGCAAACTCGGAAAAATGATTTATCAAAGAATAATGTTTCTCATCTGTACGGTCCAAATTCTCTGCCTACATTATATTATGTTAAGTGGTTTCATTTATGTATTGGATTGCATGATATACTTTTTGACAGCATACTTTTATCAATGTAACTGTTGAGATCAATGCAAATGGAAGATTGTTTCATGGATGTAATCTACCATGCTATATATGTGCGTGTGCATGTAGTGTGGGCCATTTTAAGTGGCATAATGGACTTCTTTTGATAGCATACATTCACTGATTTAGCCATTGAGATAAAATGCATAGATTGAAGGTTGCTCTGGGGGATGTATATATATAGGAAACATATCAAGAGGGGTGAGAGTGTAAAAGGAGCTAATCTGAACCATGTAATTTAAATGGATGGTTTAGATTAAAAATAGTTAAAGCAATATTGACCATCTGTGTATGGTTGTATGATCAGGATTTACTCTTCTCACCCTCTCAATTGAAATGTCCCATTATATATATATATATATATATATATATATATATATCTGTGTGTTACTATTTTAATATTTCTGTGCATTTGTTTGTCATATTTCTTACTGCTGTATACTAATTTAGCTCTGGATTTCATGCTTTTTTTGTCAGGATTGTCACAATACACATATTTTATGACAATTTGATCACTGGTGAAAACTCATATAGTAAACTCTATCTAGTGGATTTAGCTGGAAGTGAAGGTTTAATAACAGAAGATGATAGTGGGGACCGTGTCACAGATTTGCTGCATGTTATGAAGTCTCTTTCAGCGTATGTAACTTCAATGCATTATTTTTCTCCATTAGCAAATTTATCATTATTTGCTTAATATTTAGCTAGGTGTTGGTCCATCCATGACTTTAGGTGTTAATTCACTTAAAGTATTTTTTGTTGTCCTAAATATAGTGATTTATGAGTTTTCATTACTTGTTGCAAATGTTACTATCAAATTTAAACTTAAAATAAATTGACATTAAGAGAAGTTGTCTAATAGATATATAAGTTGCACTCCCAAGACTTGAGGTAAATGATGTGAGACTTTCTTACACCCTCCCTCTGAAGATATCTACCAAACTAGGTGAGCCTACTAGAATAGACTATTACTAAGATGAGCTATAGGATTTGATATTATGCTATAAAGTGGATTAGAGCCTAGCTTAACCCCACAAAATAGCTTCTAAGATTAAGTTTGCTCCATATTTATATATTACAATTTTGGACATATATTTAGTTGATGTGAGACTTCTAACATACTCCTCAATGTTGAGGACTGAACATCGTAAGTGTGAGTGGTCCGCTAGCAGCTCGATGACGGGTGAAATAATATGTCTAACAAACATTGTCAGTATAGACTCAACTCAACTGTACAAAGCTCACTTATAAGGAGAGGTTTGCACACTCCTTATATACTATAATTTAATTATATTTCTAGTTGATGTGAGATTTTCACCAGTTACCAAGTAACCTAACCAAACTTTTAATTCTATTTTTATGCTTACATTTTGATATTTAATCTTGTATTAATAAATGTGTTTCACTTATGGTGTTCGGGAACTACCCTTACCAATGTAGTCAAACTCATGTTTAAGATTGTGGGATTGCATGATTCCACAATTTTACTCATTATTTTTGATTCAGTATCTACGCAAGATCACATTAGAGTAGGATTGGTGGGATCAATGAAGAAAATCGTGAAATCGTTGAATCAATGTGTGCAACTACGATCGCCTGGACAACAAATATAGAGAAGACAATGAACTTTAAGTGTTGCAGAACTGTAGGATATTATCCTTGCATTCTTTTTTGGCACTAGCAGCGTCACTAGGCCCAAATGGCTCCTTACAACATGCAATAATAGCCATCAATGTCTGCAGCATTTCATATCTCTCAAAAACCCTAACCTTTTGCCCTCAACATCCAACTTTACCCACTGGGCATTGAGGGTGTTGTGCTCTGAAATGAAAAAGAGAGCAAAAGTAGAAAGGTGTGCAAAAGAAAGAGAAATAGGGTGTCATGTTTTGATCCGAAAACCAGAGCAAAATAAAGGGGTGTGAAAGGGAAAGAGAAAGGAGTGGGGTGCATGATAGATAGGGAGTCTAGGTTTGGGGTAGAGGAATAGAAATGAGTTTACTGAATATATAACTTTTTAAATTGTAAAAAATTATATAGTTAATTAATTAATAATCATTACTAGTATAACTTTTATATTATTGGAAGAATCAAGTATTCACCAATTATAATAATTTGTTATTAGATAATAATATAAAATTAATATGTACTAGTTTAATTTATTAAAGTTAATTGTATTTATCATATTTTATTTTTAAGAATTATTTTAAAAGATTTCATGTATAATTTATAAGTCAATATTATATAGTCATATGTGTTATATTTATGTAGAGTAGGATCTTGATCCATGTTATAATCACAATTTACAATTTTGTGAACCACCCACGATCCCACTTAAAATCTTGATTTTGACCTTTATATTTAAGGGCTATATTTCTATGTCACTATTACTGAATTCCTTAATTCTCCTATCAATGACAAACTGGATTTTACAGTTCGAATACAGCATATTCACCACCAAGATTAGGTGTGGGTTTCTGATTAACCTTTCTCTGCAAGGAAGATAGAGGGACGACAATTGTACTTGAACCTGATCCTGTTTGTGTACTGTATTATGCATAGATAACACTTCTTTACATCTACAAAATGAATTGTAATTTGATTCTTCATAGATGTGTTATGGTGAAAATTTTAAATCTCTGATTTATTGCATTTTTAAAATAAATATGCAGGTTGGGAGATGTTCTGTCTTCTTTAACATCAAAGAAGGATGTAATTCCTTACGAAAATTCAGTGCTAACAAAACTGCTTGCAGATTCACTTGGTATTGATTTTTTCTTCCCTCTTTCTATCTTTGAAGGATGAACTTGTTATGGTGGTTTCTATTTGGTTTTAGAGTTGTTACACCTAATGTGATGTTGATGTACTGTTAACTGAATTGCCTCTGCTTATTATAATGTTTATGAGCTCTTACAAGTTGGATGTGACTTTTTCAGTGTTAGAAGTCTGTGGTAATATCACATACTACAGAGAATTGTGTTTATGTGTATTGTTGTTTAGGAAACATCACTTATTATAATTCTAGGGAATAGTCTCCACTAAGTGTATTTAGAGTCTATGTATCTGGATCACATGCTGCGCCTTTGTACTACATTTTAAAAGAATAAAAAGCTTTTCATTCTCTAATTCTCTTTGAATAGACTCTGTTCTGTCTCTCTCTCAGTCTACCCTCTCTAACTCTAACTTTCACATGGAGTCAAAGTGATATCAACTACAGTAACCTGTCCTGTCATTGTCACATATCTGCCGCAGTCTTGGTACTCATGGAACTGTTGTCTGATTTTATTTTCATTTGATACTCTGGTAGGGTGGTTGGTTGGTTATTCAAAATTATATTGCTGCATATATATTCTTCTGTTGCTACAACTGTTTACATGTTTATTCCAGTTTAGTCCCTCCCTCATATTAAGAGCACCCATGTCCTTTGATTATAATTGGGTTCTTAAACTGAAAATTTTGGACATCCACTTTTTTCTATTGCCCTTCTTTAAAAGATAACTGTTGAATATATAGGAAATATGGTTTGAGATTAATCTCCCTTGTATATAAACCACACATAGGGTAATCTATTTATAATAGAAAGAGGTACAAATAAAAGAAAAACTAAAAGTAAACAGAAGATATTATTTGATATTACTTCTCTCCCATACAAATAAAACTGTTTATTAAAGATAGAAAGAAATTGTCCTCCTTCAATATCAGAAAGAGAGCAGATTCAAAACTAAACTTTTTATAAAAAAATTTCCTATTATTAACAAGAACAATGATTCTCCATGAATTTCCAAGATAATATTATTGTCCCTGTATCTTTACCTCTTTTTTTTCATGGGGGTATGGGTGGCTTTGCTACATTTATGTCTTTTATTTCACCAAAGGATACTTATCCTAGGATGGTTAAACAAAGACAGTGGTAAATGAAGCAACACTTATAATTTACCTGCATTTTCTGTATAAGAAAGTGTGAGAAATCAAATAGTATTTTAGGAAAGAATAAATAAGGAAATTTGTATATTTCCTTGTAATCTGTACAAATTTGAATAATTAGGAACAATCCCATAAATCAAGGGATCCTAGCATAAAATAGAGTTATTATATTTCCTAAAATAGTTTAGGTCTCTTGTATATATCTTATATCATCTCTTTGTATTGATATAATAAAAATCATATTTCAGTTAATCTATTTTTCAAGATGGTATCGAGCTTCCGATCTAGGAAGTTACGTCTGCGCTCGATAAACCCTAAGACGGCAGCTGCATTGCTGCTTGCATATTTTGTAACCCTAAGACGGTAGCCTGCATTCTTCGCTGCATTTTTCTTAACCCTAAGACGGCGACCTACATTCGCTGCAGCATTTTTCTTAATCCTAAGACGACAGCCTGCATTGCTACTTGCATTTTTCATAATCCTAAGACGACGACCTGCATTGTTGTTGCATCGCACCTTTTTGCTATAATGTCAAGGGAAGAGGAGATAGAAAGGGTGAAAACCATTCTTAGTAAGTCTGGAAAAACCTACGGGTATGTGTTCTTTGGCATACTCGGGTAAGTTTCCACCTTCTTTTGGATTAAATGTCTCGGATACGCCTTTTAACCATTATTGGATATTGGACTGCGGAGCCACGAGATCACATGACACCATTAGCCAAACACTTCTCCACATATTCCCCATGTCCAGACAACAAGAAAATTGCCACGACGAGATGGAACCCTTATAGCTGCAGTTGGTCAAGGAAATATCCAAATCAATCCTTTAATAACCTTAAAAGACGTTCTCCATGTCCCAAAGTTGTCCACGAACCTAGTGTCTATACAAAAACTTATAAAGGATTTGTCATGTAAAGTTGTTTTTTCCAACGATCATTGTGTATTTCGGGATAAGGATTCGGGGAGGATGATTGGACATGCTAGAGAATGGAATGGCCTTTATTATCTCGAAGATCCAAGTCTGCCTGAGCAAGAATAGAATCTCTCACTCCTTCATATCCGAATCCTTGATGACCAACGGAGAAAAAATCATGTTTTATCATTGTCGGTTGGGACATCCCTCTTTTGGAGTGATCAAAATTATATTTCCCTCTCTGTTTACCAAGTTAGATGTTGAGAGTCTTCATTGTGAGGTGTGTGAACTTGCTAAGCACAAACGTATATCTTTTCCAATAAGTAATAGAATTAGCAATTTCCCTTTTTATCTTGTTCATACTGATGTATGGGGACCTTCTAATATTCCAAATGTGTACGGTACTCGATGGTTTGTCACCTTTATAGATGATCTGTACAAGGGTCACTTGGGTTTTCCTACTTAAACAAAAATCGAAGTCGGTTATGTCTTCCTAAACTTCCACTCCATGATAAAAAATCAATTTGGTGTTAATATTAAGAGGCTTAGGTCGGATAATGCCAAAGATTACTTCAATCATGTCCTTAATTCTTTTTGTCAAAAAGAAGGTATAATTCATGAGTCCTCTTGTGTCAAAACACCACAACGAGAATGGGGTCGCAGAGAGGAAAAATGGACATCTATTAAATCGAGACTCGGGCATTGTTGTTCCAAAAAAGTGTCCCAAAAAATTTACGGGGAAGGCTGTCCTTACGGCAACATACCTTATCAATAGACTACCCTCTCAGAGTCTTAGGATCAAAAAGCCCTATGGAAGTTTTGTCGTCTTTCTATCCAAACTTGTCTACTACAAATAATCTTAAACCAAGAGTTTTTGGGTGCATCTCATATGTCCATATTCATAGTACGAGACGGGGAAAACTTGATCCTAGAGCCTTAAAGTGTATCTTTGTTGGTTACTCACCCACTCAAAAAGGGTATAAATGCTACCACCCCCCATCCAAAAAATTCTTTGTGTCTAGGGATGTTACCTTCAATGAACAAGAGGGCTATTTCCATCAACCTTATCTTCAAGGGGAGAGTTTCGGGGAAGATAAGGAAAGTAGTGATTCCGGTTTTCCCATTCTTCCGGACATGACATTTGAACCTAAACGAAATCATATTGAAAGTAGTAATTCTGGTTTTCCCATTCTTCCGAGACTTGATATTTGAACCTAAACTAGATCAAATTGAAGTTGTAACAAATGAAACAAGTCAAGGAATTGGTCAAGCAAAGGAAGTTGGTCAAGAAAGTGAAATTAATTGTGAAGGCTGATCAAGAAGATGTTGAAGCTGGAAAATTTGGTAAGAAGTCTGGTGTACTCAAGGAAGACTAAGGCCATTCCAGGATCAAGCCATGTTCAAGAATCCAACTCGACTCCACAAAAAGAGGTAACAATTTTTTCTCCAGTATGCGAGGTTGAAATTGAAACCCAAAATGATCCCGACCTCCCAATTGCCATTAGAAAAGGAACAAGAAAATGCACCAAATAGCCACTCTACCCTCTCTCAAATTACACTGTCCTTTAAAAATTTCTCTCCTACCCATAAAACCTTCCTAGTAAACCTAAACACCGTACTTCTACCTAATACCCTATCCGAGGCATTGTCGACGAGAAAATGGAGGCAAGCCATGGATGAAGAGATGGAGGCATTGGAGAAGAACAACACTTGGGAGTTAGTCACCTTACCAATAGGAAAGAGGCCGAGTTGGATGTAAATGGGTCTATACGAGTGAAATACAAAGGCTGATGGATCAATTGAGAGATATAAGGCAAGACTAGTTGCCAAAGGGTTCACCCAAACCTATGGAGTTGATTATTTGGAGACCTTTGCTCCGGTTGCCAAAATGAACACAGTTAGGGTGATATTGTCCCTTGCTGCCAATTATGGTTGGAACTTGGAATAATTTGATGTTAAGAATGCTTTCCTACATGGAGACCATGAAGAAGAAATCTATATGGAGATACCTCCGGGATATGGTAAAGATGTTGCTGCCAACACTGTTTGCAAGTTGAAAAAGGCATTATATGGGTTAAAACAGTCCCCGTGCATGGTTTGGCGGGTTTACTAAAGTTATGACAAGTCTGGGTTACAAACAAAGCCAAGGGGACCATACTTTGTTTTTTAAACATTCCAAGTCGGGGGGTAACAATATTATTGGTGTATGTGGATGACATAATATTAACTGGAGATAATAAAGAAGAGCAACAATTATTGAGTCAATGCTTAGGCAAGGAATTTGAGATCAAGACTTTGGGAAAACTAAAATATTTTTTGGGAATTGAAGTTGTCCACTCCGAGAAAGGGATATTTATATCTCAGCAGAAATACATCATCGATTTGCTCAAGGAAGCTGGCAAGGCGGCTTGCAAACCTGCTAGTACCCCATTAGAACCAAACCTAAAGCTTGGAAATGCGAGAAGAAGATGTTCTTGTTGAAAAAGATATGTACCAAAGATTAGTGGGCGAGACTTATATATTTGTCACATACCGGGCCGAGATATTGCCTATGCGGTAAGTTTAATTAGCCAATTTATGCATAGCCCAAAGGAGACCCATTTACAAGCTGCCTACGAATTTTACAATACCTTAAAGGAACTCCGGGAAGAGGGATTCTATTCAAAAGGAATGGTAATGTGAAGCTTGAAGCCTATACTCGATCGTCGATTATGCGAGGTCAATTGTGGATAGGAGGTCAACTACGGGATATTGCACCTTTCTTGGAGGAAATCTTGTGACTTGGAGAAGCAAAAAGTAGGGTGTAGTGGCTCGGTCCAGTGCTAAAGCGAGAATTCGAGCCATGGCACAAGGTATATGTGAGTTGTTATGGCTTAAAATCATCTTAGAAGACTTGAGGATAAAGTGGGAAGAACCTATGAAGCTCTATTGTGATAATAAGTCGACAATCGGTATAGCCCACAACCCAGTGCGGCATGATAGAACAAAGCATATTGAAGTAGACAGACACTTCATCAAAGAAAAGCTTGATAGTGGCTTGATATGCACTCCATATGTGTCCTCTCAAGACCAAATTGCGAGACATTCTTACCAAGGGACTGGGCTGCCATAATTTTGAGAAGATTGTATCCAAGCTGGGAATGGAAAACATCTATTCACCGGCTTGAGGGGGAGTGTGAGAAATCAAATAGTATTTTAGGAAAGAATAAATAAGGAAATTTGTATATTTCCTTGTAATCTGTACAGATTTGAATAATTAGGAATAATCCCATAAATCAAGGGATCCTAGCATAAAATAGAGTTATTATATTTCCTAAAATAGTTTAGGTCTCTTGTATATATCTTATATCATCTCTTTGTATTGATATAATAAAAATCATATTTCAGTTAATCTATTTTTCAAGAGAAAGGATTTACCTTAATTAATAAGTACATTCATTCTTGCTTTTCACACTTTCTATTCTGTTAATTGATTCCCCGCATAATTATATAATTGTTTCATGAATCATCATGATTGGTATTAATTCTTTTTGATCAATTTCAGGCACATGATCTAATTTTTGCAGTTAGTGTTCTTTAATATTTGCAGGTGGGAGTTCAAAAACTTTGATGATTGTGAATGTGTGTCCAAGTATTTCAAATTTAGCTGAGACATTGTCGTCTCTCAATTTCTCTGCTAGAGCTCGAAATTCTATATTAAGCCTTGGAAATCGAGACACAATTAAAAAGTGGAGAGATGTTGTAAGTTTTCGTTCCCATTTCTCCTTTTGAACTCTCTTACTCATCAATTTGAATATTTGTTAGAAGATTTTAGAGTCATGACTACATATTACACTTGAGAAACTTATTTAGGGTTTGATATAGTGACCAAAGACACTAATACATTGTATTGATAGAAAAAGAGATACATTAGAAAGCATATGGGCCTTAGCCCAAACCCTTAATCCTGGTCTAAAGAACATAAAAAAGAAAACAAAAATGTACATGAACAACAGATCTCAACACTCCTCCTCAAGCTGGAGCATATAGATTGTATGCACCAAGCTTGAAACAAATGAATTGAATTCTGCATCTTCTTAAGGATTTAGTTAAAATATCTGTCAGTTGCTCGTTGGAGCTTACAAATTCAGTTTCAAGTGTCTTAGACAACTTCTCTCTAACAAAATGACAATCAATCTCAATATGTTTTGTTCTTTCATGAAAGATTGGGTTGGAGGCAATATGGAGAGCTGCCTGATTATCACATAATAACTTCATCTGCCCAATATCACAAAATTTTAAATCTTGAAGGAGTTGTTTGATCCATAAAAGTTTACATGTAGCAAGTGTCATAAATCTATACTCAGTTTCTGCACTAGATTGAGCAACAACACTTTGCTTTTTACGCTTCCAAGAAATCAAATCTCCTCTAATAAAGATACAATACCTAGTAGTCGATCTTCTATCAATGGGACAACCAGCCCAGTTTGCATCACAATAACTTAGAATTTGAGTATTACCTTTATCTTCATATAACAATCCTTGTCCTGAGGCTCCTTTAACATATCTCAGAACGCGAATCAAGACATCTGAGTGATCAACACAAGGATCTTGTATGAATTGGTTAACTACTCCAACTGCATAAGAAAGATCTGGTATGGTAATAGTAAGATAAATGAGTTTACCAACCAACCTCCTATATCTTTTTGAATCTGACAACTTTTTTCCTTCATCCTTCATCCTTCATCAATTTCTGGTTAGGGTCCATTGGAGTATCAATGGGCTTATAATTTGTTAAACCAGTCTCCTTCAAAATATCATAGAATACTTCCTTTGAGAGATGATCACACCTTCCTTTGACTTGGCCACTTTAATACCAAAAAAATATTTCAATCGACCAAGATCTTTGGTTTGGAAGTGAACAAACATATGGTTCTTCAGTTGGCTGATCTTAGTATAATCATTGTTTGTAATAACAATATCATCAACATAAACTATAAGATATACACATGTGCCTGAAGAGGAATGACAATAAAACATTGAGTGGTCTATTTCACTTTTTTTCATGCCAAACAACTGTACAACATGACTGAATTTTTCAAACCAAGCTCGGGGTGACTACATCAAGCCATAAAGAGACCAGTGTAGCTTACATACCAAACTAGACTCCCCCTGAGTAACAAAGCGAGGAGGTCGCCATCCAGGGTAATTAAGTGCCTCATGAACATTATTAGAAATAGACATATTAGTCAAAGAGATAGATGATGGTAACTTAAAAAATTATAAATAGGAAAGGGATTTCGAGTGAAACGAGTACCTTTTCTAAGTGCAATAGGCCAACTAGAATCAAAAGTGGGAGATAAGGTTGAAGGATCCATGGTATGAGAAGCTAATGGAGACAGATTTGAATCAAAACTACATGTAGGAACTGATAAAGATTGGGGAAGAATTAGGTATTATAAGTAGATCATATAAAGGTATAGGCAGAACTTGCTGAATTGATGAACCATCTTCCATGGGGGAAGAAAAGAAGGGTGTTTTCTCAAAGAAGGTGACATCAACAAACATATAATACCTCTTGGAAGATGGAGAATAACATTTATATCCTTTCTAAAGGCAAGAGTACCCCAAGAAAACATATTTAATGGCCTTAACACTTAATTTATCAAGACTTGGAGATACATTATGAACTCCTCTAAGGTATTTGCTACAAGAAACCTTTTTAATTCTTCCACAGCAATCCCAACTTTTGCGATGTGAGTCATCATGTCATGATTGGTTTGCTTAAGTGACGTTACTCTTTGAGTTGCATCAAAGATACGTTGAATATCATTAACAAAAATGTCTTGAGCCTTTTTCCAAAAGGAAAAACAGGTTTTGAATGAGCTAAGAAGCTCAAGAACTTCCTGTTGCACAGACTACCATAAGATTACACAAAGTTGGAAGTCTATTTTCTTCCACTGAGACCTTTCTGCAGCGGAAATAGAGTTTATATCCTTTTCAAAATGGTTGCGATGTCCCTGATCGAGAAACCACAACTCAACTGATGCAGGCCAAGATAAGTAATTTTTTCAGTTGAGTCTGACACTAGTTATGGTAGGAGTAGCAGAGAAGGTGAAGGCAGTGGATGAGACCATCTGAATTAGAAAAGATAAATAAAGCTAACGAATAGAGTTACCCACGGGACCTTTCACACATAGTTCTCAAACCAAAAAACTAAGGGCACCACTAGACTCGGAGGATGCCAGCGAGTCGAACGGAGGTGGTCGACCTTGAGGTTGCGCCCCTCGAGGCGCACAAAACCCTTTCTTCTGCAGTCCAAACAGAGATAGTGGTCAGCGGTGACGACGACAAACAGAGATGACCAAGGTGACCGGAAATCAGTGCGGGATCTTATCCGCTTTGATACCAACTTGAGAAAACTTATTTAGGGTTTGATACAGTGACCAATGATATTGATACATTTTATTTATAAAAAAAGAGATACAATTGAGAGGATATGGCCTCTGTCCAAACCCTTAACCCTAGTCTAAAGAACATAAAAAAGAATACGAAAAAATACATAAACAACATATCTCAACAATTACATCTGACAAGATTGTATGTGGATAGAATGTTGTTGAGTGCAAATTAGAAGTTAATGGTTACAATTTTTCTATTTATACCATGTATTGTATTTGTCTTTTTTTTAATAGGCAAATGATGCACGAAAGGAGCTCTATGAGAAAGAAAAAGAAATCAATGATCTAAAGCAAGAAAGTTTGGAGCTCAAGCAAGCACGTAAAGATGTTTCTTCTGCATTGCAGTCTGATTTAAAGGTTTGCTATTTGAATTATCTTATCATAGTTTTCCAGTTCTGTATGCAGTTACTGGTTGTTTGGCGACTTGAAATGTTTTGAAAATGTGGATGCTTGGGTTATGTTAATCAATTCCGTTGAACAATTCTATATTATTTTTGTGCTACAACATGAGCAATAATCTAGAACATTTATACAACTTTTAAAATTTTAAGTCATTCTTTTGACCGCAACCCACAGTCAAGTATTCTATCAAATCCACTATTGTGCATCTTCTTATGTCATCTTGATTTAGGTGTTTTGACGTGGGTATTCTGTTAAATGTTTTACACATTTTGTGTTATGGTCCATGAAATTATAGTAACTATTTGTCAATTTTCATCTTCTTATCGCAACTTCAATATCATATTTTGCTTTTTCAAATTTATGAAATGTTCAAAAGGAGTAATAACACATCGCTCTGTTTAGTTAACCCGATTCAATATTTTGGGCTGCTAAGTCTGCCTCAATGGCCAAGAACATCTTTCCTTTGTTATCAACGCTAAGTTGATATGTTCTAATATAAAAATATGGATTTTGTCTGTGAGCTACGTTATTGTTTTATTTGTTGTAGTCGGAGCATGTTTTGCTGTCAGATAAATACAAGATAGAGAAAGAACAAAATACTCAGCTTAGAAATCAAGTTGCTCAACTTCTACGGTTAGAGCAAGATCAAAAGTTGCAGATACAGGAGCGAGATTCAACTATCCAAAGTTTGCAGGTTTGTCCTATCTTATGTTAGCTTGTTTTACTTATTTATTGGAACATCTTGAATGGTATGTAAGTTAAATTTAAGTACTTTAAGGACTATAGTTTCTTGATAAATGTTAGAATGGTCTAACACATTTTTTCTAGTGAATGTTTATCAGTTTTGTTTGTGAGGATGCTTTATGTTACTTGCATATATAAATTATAATTGAGCCTTCAATTCTTTGCAATTGCTGCTTATACACCTAAATTCTTATTACCTTTTGTTTTTTCACACTCCCTGCTGAGTTCTGGACTTTATATGTGTGGTTCGATGATGCTTATGCAGTTCTTTCTTTTGCATGTGACCAACTGCTATTTATATTATCAAATTTGTGTACTGGTGACATTTCCTGCACAAAGCTGTAGCATGACAATTTGTCATCATTGAATAATTTGAAGCAATGTTTCTAAAACCAAATCGACACTGATTCAAGGTTTCATGGTTCAAATGTGGTTGAAACAGTATTATTAAAACAATATTTATTTGTAATAGAATCCAATATAACTTAATACTGTATGTCATCAAAAAATGTCCATTAACAAATACAAGTTTACATCTAATGAAAAAGAAAATGATGAATTGATTTAATATAAAATATAAGAAACCAAGATAAAAAAATTGTAAAGTAATATATCAAACCGGTCACTGAACTGATGAAGATACGGGTTTAGGGTTTAAAGGTCTAATTGAATTTAATTAAATAATATTTTTATAATATAACAAGAATATAATAAGTTTATTAGTAACAATGTTTTTTTTTATAAAAGAAAAAAGAAGAATAAAAGTTACTAATCATGATCATTGAAAATTATAATAAAAGTTACATATATAAAATATGGTAGAGAGTGTAAGATAGGTAATTGTTAAAATAAGATGAAAATACGATAAAATAACTATTATTTAAAGTTGACTGAAACTAATATAATATAAAAAAATAGGAAAAAAAATAAAATATATTATAACTTTATAATTATATTAAAAAAAATTGATCTTTAATTTTTTTTAATTCAAAATTTGTTCGATCCAAAAATCTAGTTGGTTTTCCTGATTATGTACCGGGTTTTCCAGTTTTGTCCTGGTTTAATTAAAATCCGATTATTTGAAATCAATAAATCAATTTTTACACCAGTTGAACTGGTCAGTCCGGTCCTATTTTCAAAACAGTGGTTCTACTTATCAAATGTGTTTTTATTTATCTTAAAAATGTTTTATTTTATATTTTTTTTTTATTTACCTTAAAAATGAGTTTTTCAGTGTAGCTGAACCTGTCTACCGGATGATTGACTTGATTAGTCCGGTTTTAAAAACAATGGTTTGAATATTATCAATTACATCCTTAAGTTAATCCATAGTTCTAGGTGTAATGATGAGTGTTATCTTCATGCTTGCCAGATCACACATTCCATGTGTTTTCTCTCTGATGCAGGCTAAAATTAGGACCCTTGAAACTCAGCTCAATGAAACTATTAAAGCTAGCGAATCTAGATCAACACCGTCGGATTCTGCTGATCTATCCAATTCTAGAACTGGGGATAGTATAGACTCTTCTGCAGTAACCAAAAAACTTGAAGAGGAACTCAAGAAACGTGATGCCCTGATTGAGGTCTGTTATGCTTGGCAATTGTGTCTGATTATCGCCTTCTTCTAATTATATTTTCCTATTAATACATGCATATTGCTTTTGATTTAAACAAAGAATTTTATAAGAAATATTACTGGCCATAGCATAATGGTATGCATACGAGAACATGGTATGATAATTAAGTAGTGATATAGTTAGTATGGTGGCATTTTTAATATATATCATGGAAAAGATAAAAGCTAAACTTGCAGCCAAACATAGTTTAAAATTTTGGTTTGTATTTTCTGATGACCCTCTAAATGCAAAATGGTAAATATGGTATACATAGGAGAACATGGTATGGACCATAATGTTTGAAAGTAACAATTAAGTCTAAAACTTAAATGTGGATTTAGTTAGTATGGTGGTGCCATTGTTAATATATATATATATATATATATATATATATATATATATATATATATATATATATATATATATATATATATATATATATATATATATATATAATGGAAGGGCAAAAAAAAACCTTAACAGCTTAAAAATTTGGTTTGTGTTTTCTGGCTGTTTTAATTTGTAGAAGATATACTCAGTCTAAAAGTTGCGGCAGTAAGTTCTGGATACTTATTTTTTTAGTTCTTTAGATGTATTGATTTGATATGCCTACTGTAGTTATCAGTCTGGTGAGAGGCTAAATTTGATATTTGATGGTTTGCAGAGGTTGCATGAAGAAAATGAGAAATTGTTTGATAGATTAACTCAGAAAGCATCTACGGTTGGATCACCCAAGGTAGGAAAGTTTCACAACTCATCGGATTAAATGTATATAAAAGGAATTATTGTTATGAACTTTAAAAAATTTGACACTTGTTAGAATTGTTAGAAATGTAGGCTGAGATCAAAAGGGAGGGTAAATTGATCTTTTGAAACTTTTTTGTACTTTATGGATATAGATTTTCTATTTGAAAAGATTAAGAAGTCTGACCAAGAATTGATCCAAGAAACACAAGCAGAATTGTATAAAGTACAAGCAGAATTAAAGAGTATATAGGAATAGAGAAAGAAACACAAGAATTATACTGGTTCCCCCAAACCACAGGGTTACATCCAATTCTCAACCAAATTTCAGTTGAGTTCCACTAGATTGATTATGGTTTTTATTACAGACCCGAATCACAAAACACCCAACCTGTACCAAGAACCAATTTCTAGTTCTTGAACCTAACCTTCACCAAGTTCCAGTTCTTGAACCAACTTGCAATCAAATTCCAGCTGCAGAACTAGTGCCCAAATCTTCCAATCACCCACACATTACAGATATGAATTAACGAAAACAAAGAAAAGAAGCTAGAACAACCAAATCCGGTTATGCAGATGCAATTCTTCATCTGCAAAATGACTTTCTTCACATGCAAAAATGCAAAAATGCCTCAAGAGAGAACTTTGAAAAACTTCACAGAAACTAGTGCACTTCTTCCTTGAAAATATCTCTATTGATTGCTTGATTGATATCTCAAAAGGTGTGTTTAAAACATTGAAGCAAATATGTTTGTATAGAGACTTTTTCTAACAAACTGGTTTAATTAATCAGTTACAACTTTTTTTAATCAATTATTAATTCTTGATTAATCGATTAAAACTTCTTTTAATCGGTTAAAATGTGTTTGACCATTTTTCAGATTTATTTTAACTGATGCAAACGCGATTTAATCGATTAAAACAGTTACACAAAAATTCCCTAAGTTATTTTAATCGATTGATTCGCAGTTTAATTGATTATAATACTGCCATATAAATTCTCAAAACACTACAAGTGATTTTAATTGATAAACGCATGATTTAATCGATTAAAACATTTAACAAAAACTTCTTTAAGTTGATTTAATAGATTAATTCGAAGTTACATCTATTAAAACACTTTTTAAAACATCTCTAATGAAAATAATCGATTAATTTGAATGTGCATCGATTAAAACAGTGGCAATATATGTTTTAATCAATTATTTCGAAAATACATCAGTTAAAACTTTGTAAAGAATGTGACTAGCTAATTTTAATATCGATTATTCTTTAAGTATATCAATTAAATCTTTAGTTTTAAGAACATATTAATCGATTAAATTGATTTTTAACAAATTAAAACGGTTAAAGGCATTTCAAATTCTTTCAAATGATGAAACCTTATGCAGCAGAGAAGAATGAATGATTATACCTATTAATATTGATGCAGACTCACTAATCACTACACCCTTTAACCCAAAGAACCTTTTACTTTATCAAATCTTCAAGATTTTTTAATCTCTTCATGAGGTTCAATAAGATCTTCATCACTTTCAACACTAACTATTTTAATGTGTATATATCAAACTATGTCTCTTATTTGAATTAGTTATACTGTATACTACGGCCCTGTTATGTTTTTCTTCTGATTACTGGTCATGTCGTGTCACAAAGAAGTAAGCACTTTTAAGTAATGTTTGATTGTGAAGAACTTTTAATTCATAAACTGGCTTCTATTTTATGGGTTGCAACCATAGATGTCTTTTGTCCTACCATTGTTTGCTTTTAATATATATATATATATATATATATATATATATATATATAAACATTATGTTCCTAAATAGCATCCAAAGAGTAATGTAACAATTATTTTATATCAATGGTCATGTTTTTATTTTATTTTATTGTTTTTTGCTCTATGTGGGTACTTCTGGATCCCTAAAATTGATGCTTTATTTTCAGTTGTCAAGTCCATTAGCTCGTGGGACAGCTAATGTTCCGCCTCAGGACATTGGAAGGTGCAATTTATTCTATTTCTTGTAAGTTTTGTTTTCTAGCATATGATTACCAACTATATTCTGGATGTCTTGATACAGAAATGGCACAACCGACAAAACAAGTTCTCGTTCTGTGGATGTTCTTCCTTCACCCTTGGCCACTGATAAAAATGATGGCACAGTTGCTCTGGTTAAAACTGGCTCTGAAATAGTTAAGAGTACTCCTGCAGGTGAATATCTCACTGCTGCCCTCAATGAGTTTGATCCAGACCAATATGAAGGCCATGCTGCCATTTCTGATGGTGCAAACAAGCTTTTGATGCTGGTATGCATGAATGATCTATTTATGATTCAGTTTTTTGAAAGCAGATCAATTCTGCACCATGTTATTTTCAGTTATGTTCAGTTTAGTCTTCTGGTAAGAATGTGCAAATCCCGATCATACATGTGATTTTGAACATTTGAGTATGCCTCTAAGGCTCTAACCTATTTCTAGTCACTCACTGGATATTACAATGACTTGGTCACATCCTAAGGGAGCTCATTACACTGACACTTTTCTTGTCTATGACACTTTACCTGTCTTTGTTGATTTTAAGGAGTCAGCTGCGGTATAATTTATTGGTAAAATGTCTACAAATCTTATTCAAGCTTGCCCTCCTCATATTAAATGCACAGATTTCCATCTTCATCCTCACACATCTAAACATAGCATAATACCAAAACCCAATACATAATCCTTGCTAACCTGCCCAAATAATTAAAAGATCCATAAAATTCTTAGACCTTTAAAAGATATCACCCTGTCTTTGGCTCTCAGCTACTAATGAATGGCATAGGTGGTGATGCTGGCATTGTATTATTTGCTTAGGAACAGTCAAAAGGCTCATGCATAGGCAGCTTGCATTGTTGTTGGAGCTGTGGTGGGAATGATGAGGACCAATTGCAAGGTATGAGACATGAGTCCTAGATTGAAAGTACGGATTCTAGTTTTAGGAATTAGCTGATATTAGGTGAAGTTATCCAACAAATATATAAGTCTTACTCCAAGAATTGAAACACCCCCTTTCCACATATGCCTGTTGGAACAGAAGAACCTATTAGAATAGGTGATTTACTAAGATGATCTATAGGCTTTGATAATATCGTATTTCATCTTAAAACCATTTAGTATTGAGCGAAATTGTTGAATAGATATATATAAGCTACACTTCTAAAATTGAGACAAACGATGTAAGACTTACTAACACCCACTTCCACATATGCCTGTCAAACCAACTGAGTCTATTAGAGTACACAATTACCAAAGGGGTTATAGGCTTTGATACCATTTTAGATTTCATCTGATGGATATTAAGTGAAGATGCTCAATAAATTAAGTTGCACTCTAAGAATTGAGGCAATGCTTGGTGTATGTGCTATGGTTCTCACAATGTTTTTATAAGCATCCTACGACAAAAGAAATCTCAAACCTGCAGAGAATCTGGGATTGGGCTTCTTATTCTAAAGGAAGATGGATGGGAAGCTCTTAACTGTCATTTTCTCCTGTTTTGCCTTATGAATCTTTCACATCAGCCATAAAAGGTATCAGCACATCAAGTTCTTCGCAAGCCCTTTTAAGTTCATAAAATAGGCTAAGGGACCTTACCTGTTCTTCTACATGATGAAAGGCTTTGCACACTTCTTAAATACAAGATACATTCCCTTTACCTGAATAAGAAATCCGAATATTCTAATTTCTATATTTATTACAATAATATTTACATCCCCGCAGTGAGACCTAAGCTTGCCCAAAATGTCAGGGCATATTTTGACCAACTCTTGATACCAAGTTAGCAGATGCCATTAACAATGGCAGAGAATATAGTATGCTGGAAAACAAATTTATCCTATTCATAAACACTTGACATATACTCATGAGTTTATAATACTGATTTCCAATCCCTATATTGTAATGTTTTAAATTGTACATTTGCTACGATGATATTGTAAATTTTAAATTCTTTAACAACTTGAAATGATAATGTACTGAACATCAGAAAGAGGTTGTACATAGAGTTTTATTAATAACAAATGAGGTTGATTGAGGCAATTTCACGCTAAATTTTATGAGCTTATCTCAAAATGGTTGCAGGTTTTGGCTGCTGTCATCAAAGCTGGTGCCTCTAGGGAACATGAAATTCTTGCTGAAATTAGGGATTCTGTTTTCTCTTTTATTAGAAAGATGGAACCTAAACGAGTAATGGACACCATGCTTGTTTCCCGTGTTAGAATTCTGTATATAAGATCTTTGCTTGCGAGATCCCCAGAGTTGCAATCAATTAAGGTAACAGCACTACAGGCTATAAAATTTCTCTTTCAAAAGAAAAAAAAGGTTCCAATAAGGATTTTTCTGTGTATTTTGTGATTTTTTTATTGAGTCTAGTGGCAGCGTTTTGTTGATTTTGTATGTCTTGTTCATTGAATTGGAAGGTGTTGCCAGTTGAGTGCTTTCTTGAGAAGACTAATACTGTGCGCAGCAGAAGTTCGAGCCGAGGGAGTAGTCCTGGTAGGTCTCCTGTGCTATATGTCGACGAACAGATCCATGGATTTAAAGTGAATCTAAAGCCAGAAAAGAAATCAAAATTTTCCTCTGTTGTGTTGAAGATACGTGGGATTGATGAGGTAGTTATCAATACCTATCAATTATATATCTTTCTCATTGCTGCTCACACTATCTAAAAGAAAAGCTCAGTGTGAAGGCATGGAAAACTATTGAGGAAAGAAAATGTAGTTTCACCTGAGACTTCTTTTAGATCTTTGAACATTATAAATACCTTTGTACCAATTCTGATGTCCTATCTTATGATATCTGCTAAATGACTGTTAACTGGTTGAGGAATAAAAGCTGAGAAAGTACACATTTCTGAAACTTTAAAGTTTAAACCTAGACATGGCCACTTATTCTTTTAGTTTGTGTTGCTAATGTGTTATCTTTTTTTTTTTTTTCTTCTTTTCTGGTACATACCTGAAAAAAACCTTTCATTATTTAAACCTAGGTCACATGATTCTGTTTTCATTTTCAAATAAATTGCACAGGACATCTGGAGACAGCAGGTAACGGGTGGAAAGCTTAGGGAAATTACTGAGGAGGCCAAAAGTTTTGCAATGGGGAACAAGGCTCTTGCTGCACTCTTTGTACATACGCCAGCTGGTGAGTTACAACGCCAAATTAGATCCTGGCTTGCAGAGAATTTTGAGTTTCTATCTGTAACTGGTGATGATGCATCCGGGGGGTCAACTGGTCAGTTGGAACTTCTTTCAACTGCCATTATGGATGGTTGGATGGCTGGACTTGGTGCTGCTCTTCTTCCCCAGACTGATGCCCTTGGCCAGTTACTGTTTGAATATTCAAAACGAGTCTATACTTCTCAACTACAACACTTGAAGGTATGCCATAAGTTATGTGTAGAATAATTTATAAATGCATACCCTGGTGTTAGGCACATAAATAAAGAGATTTCTGCTTAGAATTTCATAACATAAGTTTCCCCAATTTTTAACATGCATTTGAATTCATACATTTGACTTGCATAATTAACATATATTTAGATGCTGACCTCAATTTCCTTCCATGGAAAGTTACATTTATGCGAGATGTTTGATTAGATTGTGTGCTGTGGATGTATACTTCAGCCCAAAAGAAAGAATGAATAATTTTTTGTCATTGTGTTGGACTTCTGTTTCCTGACATTTGATTGACAGGATATTGCTGGAACCTTAGCGACAGAGGAGGCTGAAGATGTAGCACAAGTAGCTAAACTACGTTCAGCTCTAGAATCGGTTGAGCATAAAAGAAGAAAGGTGCATTATTTTTTTCAAACTGTTAAATCTTATGCATGCCAGCAAGTGTGCTATGTGAACATATATTTTTAGTTGCTGCATGAGTTCATGCTTGTCATTAGTTACAAAGATAAAGGTTACACGGTAAATGTTGATATAGCCCCTGATTATAATGCAACACCATTTATATTTTATTTTATTTTGACACTAGAGGCTGAGAGTTGATGTAATGATAAGGTGTTACCTTCTGACAAGTATCGGTAACAAAGTCAATCCTTTGGCAATTTTAAGTTATCTTATGACCAAAATATTAATATTCATTTTCAATTCCAATCTTTCCTCCTATCACTCGAATGTTACAGAACTACATATGTTGAATTCTAACCAAACATGTTTTTGAGTTTACCTAGAAATAACTTTCTTGGTCCTAGTTGTCCTGAAAATTTAAAACACACCTAGAAACAAAGCCTCGGTTTCATAAAAATTCTCATTTATTATCTATCAGAAATTATATTCAATTAAATGAATCATTTTCAATTCAATTAAATGAATCTTTCCTCCTATCACTCGAATGTTACAGAACTATATATGTTGAATTCTAACCAAACATGTTTTTGAGTTTACCTAGAAATAACTTTCTTGGTCCTAGATGTCCTGAAAATTTATTAACACACCTAGAAACAAAGCCTAGGCAGTAGTCTTCCTAAAAAATCTCATTTATTATCTATCAGAGAAATTATATTCAATTAAATGAATCGTTTTAGTGGAAATGCATAAGTGCTGTCCAACTCAATACGAAATACATTTTTCTTATGCTTCTAGGTCTGAAGAGATTTTTAGGGTCTGATCGTCTGTAGTTTTAATTTAGTTGAAAGAGGTCTATCTATATTTGATATCCTATTATTTAGAATGGATGATTAATATTTTTTATTTAATTCGTATTCTTTGGTATATGTTCATAGATTATCAATTCAGTCGTATTGGTTAGGTAATTGCATTGGCTTTGGTAAGATCAGGTTTTAAAAGCAATTTTGAAGAATGATCTTACTTCTCTGTTGTCTTAAATGAATTTGTTCATCATAGATTGACATTGATTTCTTCAATATTTTTTTATCAGATTTTGCAGCAAATGAGAAGTGATATAGCTTTATTAACGTTAGAAAATGGTGGTTCCCCTGTTCAAAATCCTTCTACTGCAGCTGAAGATGCACGATTAGCATCTCTTATTTCGCTTGATAGCATACTAAAGCAAATCAAGGTTCGTATATTATTTCTCGTATCTAGTTTCCAAAGTTAGTGTACTGATTGTATATTTATTAATAATTAAGGCATGATTAAACAGGATATAACAAGACATTCTTCCGTGAACATCTTGAGTAAAAGTAAGAAAAAGATGATGCTTGCTTCTCTTGATAAATTAACAGAACAGATGCCTTCTCTTCTCGAAATTGATCATCCATGTGCTCGTAGGCACATTGCAGATGCTCGCAGCATGGTTGAGGTATGCAAAATATTATGGGTATTATATACCTACACCTTTCATCTGGTATCTGAGTTGGTAACAGTTCTCAAATAATCATCAATACTGAAATAGAACAAAATTGTTTATTGTGCTGTTTGGGTCCATGGCTTAGTTGTATGCTAAAGGGCTGAACGGATAAAAAATAACTAGGATTGATTTTGTTATGTCTGAATCCTTTATTTTTGTTGTGGTACAGTCAATTCCTGAAGAAGATGACCCTATTCCTGATATATCTCATGGTCGCAAGCCATCAACAGGTCTGGGCTCTGGATCTGAAACCGACGTGTCACAATGGAATGTACTCCAATTTAATACTGGCTCGACACTACCCTTCATAATAAAGTGTGGTGCAAACTCTGATTCGGAACTGGTCATTAAAGCTGAAGCACGAGTTCAGGAACCTAAAGGTGGTGAAATTGTGAGGGTTGCTCCTAGACCCTCAGTTTTGGAAAATATGAACTTGGAGGATATGAAACAAGTATTTAGTGAACTACCAGAAGCTCTAAGCTTACTTGCTCTAGCAAGGACTGCAGATGGCACCCGGGCACGTTACAGTAGATTATATAAGACCTTGGCTACAAAGGTTCCATCGCTTAAGGATTTGGTCAGCGAGCTCGAAAAAGGGGGTCCACTCAAAGATGTGAGAACGTGACCTTTGAATGGGTAGATTGTTCTTAACTTCATGTCCTGAGGTGCCTGGCCTGCTTGCTTGCTTCATTCTCGGTGAAGAAAATTCCTGTATGTACTATGTATTTGCCTCTCTGCTTGCACGTATGTTTGTTTATATGTAGCAGTAATTGTTTTAGTATACTTCGCCTGCAGTTTTGCTTCGGCTTATTAGTGCAATTGCTGGTTCAGTTCAAACTGGTTGCAGCATCCGATTCGATTGACATATCCGGTTTTAAAATATAATAATATTCATTCTCTAGTCCCTACCAGCTTTTACTTTGTAAGTAATTCTGTCCCTAAATATTAGGAGTATTTGTGTTGTGGTTCAGTCTGGATCTATGTTTATGCAAAGCTGTTTCATCTTATCATAACACTAAATCAAAATTCTTGTACAACACATCGTATAACAAATTTTACATCCAAGAGGAAGTGAGAAGTTTCAAATTTATAAATGAGGGTTTAGAGAGAAATAAATAGATAAAAATTATGTGTGAATTGTTTGTGTATTTTAAAAAAGAAAAAAAAGGATTGTGTCTAACATCTTAATTTTAGAAGAGTTTTATTCAATAAAAAATAAATTATAAAAAAAGCTAGTATCTTTAACTATCATTGTAGACTATAATGAATATTCTTTCAATCCTTCTTGATTATAATATAATTTTAACTCTTGAATTTGAATATATTTAACACTAAGTCGTTTTTAATTTTTACAGATAATAAAATGCTTGAAAAAAAATAACAATTTACTCAGTCTATAATCCAACTTCAAAAACATTATATTAAAACTTAACGTTGTAAAATTTATCTTCAATCTTTTTATATACCTTGACTTAGAAATGATACTTATGAGCAAGAACTTACATGAATCTTCTTGAATAAAAATGAGATACGTAATTATATTTTACATATTTATTTATAGTGAATAGAAAGAAACACATTATATTGTTCTTTTGTTTAGTAAGGTTTCCTTATCTTTAATATTTGTTCGATTTTGGGTTAGGTTACAGCATATTTAAAAAATATTCATCAGTATTCTATTTTATAGAAACCTCTTAAATTCAAATACTATTTTTCCTAGAAAGAAAGAGAATATAAGAGTGCTATAACTTTTAAGAAAGAATCATCATAGAATAATGAGTTTTACTATTCATCATTTGGATGAAACCAAAAAACTATGACAAATGTAAAAATTTTCTTTAACTTGAGCTCATCTCAGGTAAGGATTAAGATGAAAAGTTCTAAGAGTCTAAAGTTTATAATATTGCATACTAAAAATGTGCAAGAAATCTGAAAACCTGAAAGTTAAATGTGCGAAGACTAAACAAATTGACAAAGTGTGTCATGGTTTATAAAAAAATAACCACGCGAATATTTTTTAATAAAAAATAAGCTATTGAATCAATCTTGTTCATGTTGAGAAAAGATATCTCTTTCCAAATATTGAAACAACCAGACATATTTGATGGAGAACAAAATATGTTTAAAGATACTTTAAAAAATTATTGATTGTTTAACTATCATTTGTCAAATATATCTCCTTATGTAAAAATATGTTGTTGAACAAAGTTATTCTCATTTTCTCATGCTAAAATTTATTATAATAATACTCAAGTAGGTGCTACCAGTCTTAAAGTAGTTATTTGATTGTAAAGAAATATATGGGAAAGTGAGGATGAAATTAATTTATTTTGATTGGTGGAAAAGAAATAAAGTAAAAATATTATCAGACTATGTAAATTTTACTTTCTTACATATTTTTAAACATTTTTATTTATTTTTTATCCACGATATCTGATGACCTATTTGATGTGAATTTATTTATTTGATTTTTCTCGGATACCTTATTTCATGTATTAATTAAAAAATATCAACAATATTTTTGAAATACTTTTAAGGATTTTTGTCTTCTTGCATCAAACGCTATTTCTGGATGCACATTCTTAAGAGAAATAATTAGTTAACCAGTTCATCACCTAGCTGAACATAATTTTGAAATAAAATTAACGCAATGGGAAAAATAATTGAATTGTATGTAGTGTAATTTTCAAAAGCATTTTAAAAAACATGTAAGTTTTATAAAATTTTCTAAAAAACTAGTATATTCTATCAAAGTTGAAACTTTTTTCTAGAAAAATTTAGAAAAGCCGTCACAAGGATGTGTGAAGTATAAAAGAAAACAGAAGAAAATAAAACACAAAGTTTTACCTCGATTCACTCACAATTTGAGTTATTCAATACCTTCAAATAAAAAAAAAATCACTAAAGACACAACTTAGAACCAAATATTCTTTTATAGCAGTGTAGGTTTACATAAACCATTATCTAAAATATTCAGATAAATTACAATAATTATTCTTTTATACCAAGTCTCTTATGTCTTTCATGATTTTGAAAAAACAAAAAAAAAACAACTTTGAATTTATTGTTAAAATATATAAATAATATATTATAAAAAAATTATTTAAACAATCAATTTATTTATTTATTTATTTAAATAAATATATTTAATGTTTATACGTAGTTTTAATTTTTTTCTCTTTACTTATCCACTTTTTATTTTTTTTATTATGTCAATATTTATTTTTTTCTTCCTTTCCTATTTATTTTTTTAATTAAAAATATTATATTAAAATTTAATAAAAATATGTTAATATAATTTTTTTAAAATTAATATTGAAATTTTAAAAAATAATAAATTATTTAAAATTATGATAAAAGTAAATAATTTTATTTATTATGCCAAATAATTTTATTTACAATGATATAAATAGTTAATTTAAAACTATTTTATCATAATAAATCAATTACTCAACTAATTAAAAAATATTAAATATTTTAGTTATAATTAGATTAAATTACAATGATTAGTCTAAATAATTAAAAAAATATTCTAAAATAAATATTAATTTTTATAATTATATTTACAACAGTGAAACATGCTAAGTAAAGCAATTGGATGACTCTTATATTTTAAAACAAATTAAAAATTTTAATCTAATATGATCTTATATTAAATCATTGATTAATTTTTTCCTTATTGAGTTTTTTTAAAATATTAACCTATTAATAAAAAATCAATTATTTAAAAAAATATTTAAATAAAAATAAAATATATTTTTAAAAACTAAAACTTTATTAATAAAATTAGTTTTTATTTAAGATATAATAATTTTATATAAATTAAAAAAATATTTATTAAATCTCAAAAATAAAAAATAAAAATTTATTTATTATTATTATTGTTTATTTTTTAATAATTTACTAATTTAAAATAATAATTAGATCTTAGAATAAGTTATCATTAAAATTTATTATAATTAAGTGAATTCATTATCAAATTAATTTATAATATATACGTATTTTTTAATAAAATAATATTATTTTTATTTTATTTAAAAAATTATTATTTTATAAAATGAGTAGATGCATCAGTCTATGAGCTACACTTATCTTTGTCCATAGATCAAAATATCAAAATAGTTCTTATTCAATTTATATAATAAATTTATTTGTTTAACCTTGTTTATTTTTGAAACCGAACTAATGGATTAAACGTATTTTGGTACTTCTAATTATAATATAATAATAATATTTATAATATCTCAAAATTTATTATATAATATTTTTTTAAATATAATATTTCTTGATAATTTAAATATTTTTATTTTAAAAAAATATTTATTTTATTAAATTTTAATTTACTATTTTAATTAAAAGAATAAAATAAAAGTGAAAATGAAAAAAAAAAAACACAGACACTAACTATTACAAAATAAAATAGAAAAAAATTATATTATATCATATAAATTATTAAGTTTTATATATAAATAGGTCCAGATAAAAAAATTTATAACAAATTTATATAAATATTTTTTAAAATATATTATTTATTGAATATGTTAAATTATAAGAAGAATATATAGATGGTCGAATTTCAAATTGGGGGAAACTTTGGCAAAAGCAGAGTATAAAACTCTGGGTTTGCTCGCAATGTTTTGACTCCTCTCTCTCCCTCTCCATGCGTAGTGTGGAAGATTATCAAACACAGAATGAAACAAAAATCAGACTCAGACAACAACGCAACTTCGGACGGATCCGGAGACTCCGACACCCTCTCCCTGCTTCGCCCTTCTCTTTCACTTCTCAAGCGTCGTAGTTTCACCGCCTGTCGCGACTTCACTCTCAAGATCACCAGATCCGACGCCAACACCTCTCTCCAGATCGACCAAATCCTTGCGGTTTCCGACGTTCTCGCCGCCGCAGAGCGCCGCCATGACCCGCTCGACTGGTACTCCATCCTACGCCTCAGTCCGGGCGACGCCGCCGCGGACCGGGACCTCGTACGACAGCAGTTCAAGACCCTAGTGCGTCTCCTGGACCCTAACAAGAACAAGTTTCCCTTTGCAGACGAGGCCCTCATGCGCGTGCGCGAAGCCTGGTGTGTCCTCTCTGACCCCACACTCAAGGCCAGTTTTGACAGCACAATTCAAAATGCGACTTCTTCGTTTTGGACAATGTGCCCTTACTGCTGGTACCTCCACGAATACCTGAAGTGCTACGAGGATTGCACGCTGAGGTGCGCCAATTGCCAGAAGACGTTTCACGGCGCGGCGGTGAAGCCCCCGTCGCCTGAGTCATTGGTGGCGGGGAAAGAGGAGTACTACTGTTACCACATGAGTTTGCCGCTTAGGTATCCTATTGGTGAACGGCGTAGTTTTGGTGAAGAGAATGGGATGCGAAAGAGGTTGAGGGTTAAAACAGTGGCTAATAGGACTAGAATGAAAGGATTTGTTAGTGCCATTGTTGACTCGGATTCTGAGGGTGAGGAGAAAGATGAAGAAAGGTAGTGGATACTGTTTTAGCGTCTGGTGCTTGTCACATATTTTGGGAAAACCTGAAAGGAAAATCTTTGTAGGGTTCATAGTGGGTACTGTTTACTGTATGGTTCTTGTAACAAATTTTGGGAAAAGCTGAAAGGGGAATTGTAGGGCGTTAATCGTGCTTTTTTTTTTTGTGTGTGTTGGTTTTGTAGGAAAAGAGGCATCATGCATTGCTTGTATTTTGCTGTTCTGCAATGCTGCTTCTGCGAGGTACATGGTAAATTCTTTATTTTGGGTGTAATAGTTTGTCTTTTGAAGAAAAATTACTTTGGTATTTAGAAAGGGATATCTGGGTATTACTAATATCTGGTGTGAAGGACTACGATTCCCTTTTGAAGAAAAGTGAAGTTGGTGGTTAAACTATAGGTTGTATACCTTTTGACTGAGAGAACGGGAGAATTGGAAAGTGCTTTTTGTTTCATATTGTCGCATATCTTTTCTTTTCAATTCATCTCATTAATTAGAATTTGTATTAGAATTCCTAATAATTCTGTTGCTTAAAATGGAACATGTAACCTGTCTTTTTGGAAAGAAGACTATTTTGCTTTTAGAGAAATAATGTCATCTCTCTTCTTTCACCTGTTCTTCGGTATTCTGGAATGAGTCTATATAACTTAATCGAACACTAAAATATTAATTTAATTTGATTCAAGATTTATATTAAAATATAAAAAAAAAACTAAGTTAATCGTATTTTATTTTTAATTTACTTTGGATGATTTTTTAACGAAAAATCAAACTAAATTGAGTCTTCCTTACATGTAATATATATGAGGCACTAGATTATATTTATTTATTTTTAAATGCTTTCGTTGTTAATTGATATCGAATATAAATATGAATCATTAGATATAAAAGCCCTAATTAATTGAAGAGTATTTTTAAAATAGGATCACTAAATAGAATGAGTGCAATTCAAATTTATTTATATTTGAGTTTACAATTTTATTTTATTTTACTTATAGATTATGAGTTGAGAAAGAGTAGAACTTTGTGCAGTTTCTATATAAAAAAATATTTTGCACTTATAAATTAAACTGCTGATAATATGTTATAATCTCTACTTAATTTACAAATTATGTAACATTATTAGTAAATAATTTTTGATACTATGCTGTAAACGAGTTAGTTCATTGGCAAATTAGTCAGAGCCTGGAGATGTCCCATTGATCCAATCTTCAGGTGAATATAAGAAAAATATAATCAAAATCCAAAGTCTCATCTCATGCTATCATGTCTCATCGCTTGTAAAACTCTAATTCTCTGCTACAATTGGCTTTCAGTGCATCCTCCAATTTCTCAGCTTGGTCAAAATCAACTTTAAAACTAACCATAGATATGCCATCTTTACCGGTATCATAATCTTGCTTGATGTCTTCCACGTGAAAAGATTGCAGCTGAAAAAAAAATTGTAAAAAGAAATGAACAAAACATGAGCAACAGATGCGAATACCTTTTGCAATAAAAGAAACAAATACCGGTGGTAATTGTAAGGGTCCAGCTTATATTTTTATACACTTTTCACCATCTCAAGCACAAGTACCAGCAGCAGTGAGATTGATATCATTGCATTAACAAAATCAAATCAAAGAGAACCTACGATTTCTGAACTAGTCATTTTTATCAGCAATGCAGTGTAGACACATAGTGCGTTTCGATTGGTTGAAGGAATCACGTTGAGGATAAAATCATGGTGAAAATACCAAAAAAGTAACTATTTGTTGCTTTTGAAATCACAATGAAACATGCTCACAATAGGGCCGAAATCAAGGGGTAAATAAAAAGAAATTAAAATATGTTACCACAAAATACCATGAATGTCCAAAAATTATTTTCAGTAGCCTGTCCAAGTCCAATTTAAGAAGCTTGTTCAATATGAGGAAGTCATCAATATACATCTGCAAGAACTAACCTGATGGTAGACAACTCCAAGTAAGTCAAAGGGGACCTCTACACCCATTGGCACCTACATTTTCACAAGATTATTTATAAATTGATACATCATAAGCAAGTAAAATTAGTTCAGAAAACCTTCAAGAAACTAAAGATGCATTACAGGCTTAGAAAAAAGCCACCTTTGTTTTCACCAGGCAAGTTGGGGCATTCCTCAAGCATTCTGATGCAACTCCTCCATAAGCCCTGACCAAGCCCCCAGTGCCTAACTTGATACCCCCAAAATACCTGAAATTTAGTATAGATCACAACACAAATTATAGTTCAAATCCAGCATGAAAACAAAACAGCTTAGTGCTTATGTACAAGACCGTTAAAAAGCATATGATACGGTTAATCTTAAAGTTTTTGGTTAATGTATAAGAGTTACAGTTAGTTCCCTGTTTTAAGTTTGTTAATAGTTTCTGTCATATATATTCAAGTTTTGTTTTTATCTTGTAATCAAAACTTTATACAAGTCTTGTTCCTCTCAATGCAATTCGGTTTTTCTTTTGGTAAATCCTCTAATACAGTATCAGTTTAAACCTCTTCTTACCCTTATTCCTTTTCCCATCATCTCCTTCTTGGTTGTTCTGCAATAATGTCTGCCACCATAACCTCTCCCGCTGCTTCCAGCCACTACTACATACATCCCTTGGCCTCAATGGTCCCACTTAATGCCCATAGCATTGGACATGAAGAACAAATTCGCTTTTGTAGATGGCCCTATCAAGAAACCCGCTTCAAATGCTTCACAATTTGCATTGTGGAAACGTAATACCCTAGTTCTTTGATGCATGGCGCATACAATGTTTTTCTCAAGGTGACAATGATTGAATCTCCTATTCCATAGGGGTGGCTTTCTGCGCCTAGAAACAAGCGTAGCCTAAATTCTCTCAAACAAGGTGATTGCTCTTATACCATTTTACCAAACGCAAGATTTAGGTTTAGGAATATTGCAACTTTCACCCACTAACTCCATGCGCCTATGATTCTTGCACAATACATATATGTGTCAAAGAATACAGGGACAATGATTCTCTTTTGTACTGTCCCTACTGCACCAAGTCTTAGTGCTGAACAAATTCAAGAATAGCTTGCCCTTCAACTGCACCTACAGCTACGACATTTACTTCCAACTTGGTCAATACCGATGGTGTTAACACTTCACCTCAACCTTCAGGAATCAGGTTCCTCTCCTAGTCCAGGATATTGGACTCAAGAGATACTAGCCATATAACATCCTCTTTATCTTTCTTTTTCTTTTACAAAATTCAAGCTATACATGTTTCTCTTCCAAATGGTCAACATTCTATGGCCAATTTTGCTGATACTGTGGTTTTATCCCCTCATGTCTCTCTTCATAATGTTCTTTATATTCCTAACTTCTCATTCAATTTGATATCTGCTAACAAACTCACTTGCCCACTATCTTGCACTTTGTGTTTTTCTTCTAATGATTATGTTATCATTTATACAACTTTGACGAAGATTGGGATGGCTAAACCACAAAATGGTTATTCTATATTTTAAACTTACCTTTATACACAGACTCCCCCACAATGAAAGAAAGACTTCGTAAAGGGGAAAAACCTTATTTTTAAAGAGCAGAAGGTTGTACATTGCATTATTTCTCTAGCTTTTTATTAATACGCACATGTGAAATATAAGTTCAAGATTAACCTGATCACCACCACCATTACTCTATCTATTCCTGAAGAATCAATAGCAGTTTGTATTGGCTTCCCAGCTGTTCCTGAAGGCTCACCATCATCGTTGGAGCGGTATTGATCTCCCACCTGTCATACAGAGAAACACATATGAGCAAAAGACAGTAAAGAGTGGACGATTCGCAACACATTATCTGCTTTATGCATATGCATAATGATGTTTTCTATCTTCACCTACGATCTTTCCTTTTCTGCTACAAATCCAACCAACACCCTTAATTTGTACATAAATTGGCTAATGAGCTAAGTATAATATGGCACCTTTAGGATTATACTAATGAATGAACAATAATTGCCACAATGAGAGCTGAAACCTCAATGCATGCTCTAGGGACCAGAAAGTAGTAATCTCCAACTATAAGTCAGGCAAGAGAGAAATAATTTCCCACTCATACCGTACCTTTGAATAAAAAAAAACTAACTATTCAGAGACCCCAAAACAAAATGCAGTGGCAAAAATACAAACAACCATCATTCTTTCATCAAAGTAAAAATCTATCCTTTACAGTACCTTATAAGCCCAGCAATTGTGGGTAGCACGTGGGTCCCGGACCTAATAATAAACAAAGCCAAAACTTAAAACCAATTTAGAAGAGAAAAAAGAGTAAAACAAGCGGAAGAAAAGTGAAGGGAAATGAACCTGAGAAAGGAAAGACATGGCGGATTTTTCATCGGGGATGGGGCCAGCAATGGCGATGAACTTGCTTTTCTTGATCTCTTTCTCGAAAGTGACCCTCTCTTGGATTGTGGTGAAGGCCCCACCAGAGTTGCTGGTGCTGGCCATGGTGGTTTTGTTGGACTTGGCGATGGCAAAGAGTGAAGCGTAGATGCGGTGCTGAGTACTGGGTATCGTTATCGACACAGGCATCTATGTGTCCGCTCACAGTTCCTGCTTGGGTATCTCTGAAACCTATAAAATCAATTCATCAATAGTCGGAAGCCATGGCCTTTCTTCCTCCTACTGCTTCTTCCTTCAATCTCTTTCTTTTGTTTTGTGATTTTAGGAAAAAAATAAAAAATAAAAAAAATAATAATTTAAGATAATATAAATAATTATATATTTAATAAACATAATGTAAATTATTTATATTAAAATATATTTTAATTTTAAGAAAAATATTTCTTTTATATACGTATATTTTTTGTGTTGACTATTAATATAACTTTTAAATTAGGATTACATGTCAATAATAATATACTAATGTAAACAACCACACATAAAACATAAATAATACAGGAATTATTTTTAGAAAGTTGTTTAAAATGATTAAGAAAAGAAAAAAGATATGTTGCCGGGAAAAACTAATTTGCTTAAAATTAATAATATTATAATATACGGTGAGCACAATGAATTTATTGGTATTTAATTGAATTTTAAAAATTAAAAAATATATTTTCTTATATTTAAAATGATACTAGTTATTTTATTGAATGAATTTTTGTCAATTTGGTACGAGGTTTTAAGTTTAAATATGTTTTTAATTCATATAAATATGACTTTGTCGTTTCTTAATCTCTTAAAATATTTATTAATTATAAAATAGTATAATATTTTTTAGTTTATATGTTTTTCGGGTGATCTTGTATTTTGAAATTTATTAAATACTTTAAATTAAAAAAATACTGATTTTTTTTCAATTTTATAATAAAAAGTAATTAGATATGTATAAAATTACTAAAAATACTTATATTATCAATTTAATTTTTTATGATCTTTATGACAATAAAAAATAATCACTAAATCTTAATTTAAGTAAAAAAAATACATTTCCATATTTTTAAAAATTACATAAAAAAATTTATCAATATAAAAATAAAATACAAGGACTAAAATATATACTTATCTCATATAATAAATCTTTAAATTTTTCTCAATTCTTATCCTTATATGGTTAATTTAATGTAAAAATTAGAAAAAAAATGAATTAATATAATTAATGTAAAAGAATATTTTAAGTCGAAATAATTAGATTTATTTTTAGATGCATACTTGTAATTATGCAGTATATATCTCATTTAATATAAGCAACATAATTATATACAATATTTTATTTTTCTAAACAATAATTTACATTTAAATATTATATTTTTATAAAAAGTAATATACACTTAAAATTTATTTTCAAAAAAATTTCAAATTAAATAAAAAAAAATCAAACTTTTTATACACGTATATAAAATTAGTAAATTATTCGTTTGAATATATGAAAACTTACTTGTAGTTGGATTTTGAGCACAAAATTATCACTATTTAGAAAATTATTTGTACTTTTGCTTTTAAGTGATGGAAAGAGTGAACAATAATCTACAAAACATTGATTCGGTAATAGAACACATGGTGTTTTTATATTCTTCGTTCCTGATTGAAATTTGAGCATTGAATAGATTTTCAACTTTAAGTTTTACATCTTTCTGCCTCATTTTCACTCCACGTATATGATGATGAATGCAACAATATAATTATGAAGCACGCTTTGGTTCAAAGATTTTCTCATAAAAAATTTTACACTTATTTTACATATTCATTAAGATGATGTCATTTGCTTAAACTCTTCTCATCATTAGATGAAAATACAAAGATGTGATAAAAAAATTATAATAATAATATATTTAACGATAAAAGTTTATATCAATTATATTTATTTATTTTGATTATGAATTTATGATATATTTAAAATTTGAATGATAACTATATTTTACATAATAACTTTGATTATGTTAAGAAGGAATCAATATATCTTTAAAATTATAAAATTATTTTTTTCTTTTAAAAAAAATGACATGTTTGATCTCGTTCCCCTATCCTTCTATATTTTAAAGGAAGAATGAATAAACCCTATTTACTAATTATTACATGCACAACTTTATTTAAATTAAATGACATGTTTAATAATGCCAAAGTAAGATATATTCGATTTTCTGATAATATTTTGGACATTTATAGGACTACAAAGAAAAAGAAAAAGAAAGATAATCATATCTACAACACCATAAATATTATAAATATTGTTCTCCAATCATATTTAGAATTTAGTTTGGTAACATATAATGTATTTAATAAATGTAAAATATCAAATAGCTGCCTTGCTTCTCTTAAAGGTTAATCACAAATTAATATTGTAAAAATAGTGTCCATAAATTACAACTATATCTTTATTTAGAAACTTAGGAAATAAAAATCATAATTTTTGCTTTTGATACAGTATTTTTATTTACACTTCTACACTATTTAATCATTTTATCACAGTAAATAATAGAGTTATATATCGAACAAGCGGTGAAAGAAGGTTTTATATTATTCATGGCTATTTTTAAGATATTTAATATTTTAAACAAGAACCTTTAGGTCATCCACTGTCGCTTTGGCCGAGTGGTTAAGGCGTGTGCCTGCTAAGTACATGGGGTTTCCCCGCGAGAGTTCGAATCTCTCAGGCGACGGAATTTAATTTTATCTAAGCTTTTCTATGTTCGCAAATTTCAAAAATTTGGTCCACAAGTTAGAATTGTAATCCTAAATTATGGGATAGGAATATCCTGTCATTTAATACACTTAAAATAGACTAGGGATCAAAATGGACATTTTTTTTATTTAGATTTAACTAAAATATCTTTATATTAATTTATATTAATCATTAAATTTGAATAAATATAATTATAATATAATTTTTTTTAGCAATGGTAAAAAATGATGCAAAACTATTTTTAATATGAATATTTATTCACAAGATTAATGTGTTTTAATCTTCCTCCCAATCTAATGTGACCGTACCAAAACAAAAAGTGTAGTTGTATTCATAAAAAAATATATAATTATTAGAATATCTAATATACATTATAATTTATGTTTGTTATCATTAAATAATAAAAATATTTCCAATAATAAACTAATGGTTATCCTGTCTTACAGTCATCGATCACTTCAGAATTTTTATTTTATAATTAAAATCTTAACATTTTTAATTTAGAGTTAGAAGTTTGTGTTACAGCCAGATTATTAATTTGGACTAAGGTTCGACCGTGTTATCAGCCATAGAGCTTTTATTTTTAGTAATTCCAAACATCTCTAAACAAAAATTTAAGATACAAAACAGATTTTTCACTTACTTAAACATATTTTGGCTAAATAAATTTATAATAATAATTAAATTTGAATAAAAATAGTTATGATGTAGCAAATTTTAGTCATGGTAGATGATGTAAAACTATTTTTAATATGAATATTTATTGACAAGATTAATATATTTAATCTACCACACAATATACTGTGACAGGCTGATACCAACACAAACTCGTCAAATATTCATTCAAGCCTTCACCTTCATTGCGAAAATCAATGTGTGGCTAGATCGTTCAAACTTCAAGCCAGAGAACGTGTGAGAAGCTCTTGTTGCAGTCACCCATGATGACTCATGAAAAAAGGTCAAATTCAAAAGTCAAAAAACCCCACTCTTCTCCTTATATAGTATTTATTTTGCTAACTCAAATCTCATTACTTGAACCCCATATCATCAGTTTTTATCTATAATTAATGTAATTCATATTGAATGCTATAACTTTCAAAAGTTTCATACTTTTAAGACTTGTTGTGGAAAAAGACAATTATGCCAATTTTAAAGCATACAACATCTATGGTGCAGCTAAACCTACATGTGAAGTTCTATATTTTAAGTGTTCAAATAAACAGAAGCACGGAATTCGTTGCATACTATAATAAGCAAGCTAAAAGTCCATAATATATCGACAAATCTGGAGAACCCCCAGAACTGCGGTTATCAATTTATCTTCAGATTTTTCTGCGCCAAGTCCTACTTTTCACCATCCTTCATTCTTCCTTTCATAACACATCTATAAATTCTCTTCCCCCAGCAACGCAAACCATCGTTTTTCTCAGTATATGCCCGAGAGAGGCCCAAAGTTTCTCACTTTTCATCCAACTGCTCCTATTCAACCCAAACCCTTCAATTAATTCTTCTTTATAGTTCCCGTTTCTTGCTTCCTTCCAAGTTTTCCCAGAAAATTCTCAGACAAAATCAACCCCACCCACCTCCCCAATTCCATTGATTCTTGCAAAACAATAAACTTCTCCACCTAACTCAGAAATGGGTGTGAAAGGCTTTGTGGAAGGAGGCATTGCTTCGGTGATCGCAGGGTCCTCCACCCACCCTCTTGATCTCATCAAGGTCCGAATGCAGCTCCAAGGAGAGACCCCACCCTCCAACCTCCGACCCGCGCTCGCATTCCACCGTAGTTCCGTCCATGCACCGCCAGCCAAGGTGGGTCCCATTGCCGTTGGCATCAAATTAGTCCAACAAGAAGGTGTGGCCGCGCTTTTCTCCGGCGTCTCCGCCACAATCCTCCGCCAGCTTCTCTACTCCACCACCCGCATGGGACTCTACGACATGCTAAAAAAGAAATGGTCTGATCCGAACTCTACCAGTGGCACCATGCCCCTAGCCTACAAGATCACTGCAGGGCTAATCGCCGGTGGAATAGGCGCAGCCGTCGGAAACCCCGCCGATGTGGCGATGGTGCGCATGCAAGCCGACGGAAGACTCCCTCCAGCTCAACGACGAAACTATAAGTCCGTCGTTGATGCCATCACGAGAATGGCAAAAGACGAAGGTGTCACTAGTCTATGGCGTGGCTCATCACTTACGGTGAACCGCGCTATGATAGTCACAGCCTCACAACTTGCCTCCTATGACCAGTTCAAGGAGATGATTTTGGAAAAGGGCCTAATGCGTGATGGGCTTGGAACCCATGTAATGGCGAGTTTCTCGGCGGGGTTTGTGGCAGCGGTTATGTCCAACCCCATCGATGTGATCAAGACTAGGGTGATGAACATGAAGGTGGAACCCGGGGCGGCGCTGCCGTACTCCGGTGCACTTGATTGTGCCTTGAAGACTGTGCGCGCTGAGGGTCCTATGGCTCTTTACAAAGGCTTTGTTCCCACGATCTCAAGACAGGGACCCTTCACGGTTGTGCTGTTCGTCACGTTGGAACGAGTTCGCAAGTTGCTTAAGGATTTCTAAGGACAAGGATGACGAGGAACAACCTATTTCCATAGGTTTAATAATGATAGAGTTACTTATAAATAATATGCTATAGAGTTTTTGTTTAGTTATTAAATTTGTTCTGGCACTTTTTTTTATTAGTTTTAAGATTTATGTTATTTAGTTCAAAATTACAGATTTAATTGGTATTATGTTAACCATTACGTACCCTTTATGATCGAGAAACTTACAAATATTTTTTCCCCTTTAATTACAATTTGCTTTTTGATTAGACTTGTAATGTGATCGTAAAATGATCTTAAACATTTAATTATAAGCTAGAAATTTGTAGTATTTGATCAATAAGGATTCTAAGCTTTTCCTAGAGGTTTCATAGTTGTGTGTAGTAAATACAAACGAGCAGTGCCTGTTATAATCATCTCTTTTTTATTCCTTATTATGACAGTTAACTTGTGAAAAAATTAAAAATAGACCTGCAAAATATTTTATCATATATTTATGTTACATATAAATGTCATATATTGTACAAAAACTATCAATCAATATAGCAATATTTTCTAGAAAAAGAAAAAACCAATAATTTCAGTCTATTAAAGAAATAACATAAAGAATACAAAAACTATTTTTTAAAAAAATTGGCCCATTTTTAGCGTGGGCTCTGCGTCGTCTGATGAATGCAAAATCCATAATTGAAAGACGGTTTCTTCTGCATTTCAATATTAATCTAAAATGACAATATTACTTTTAATATAAATATATTTAAAAAAACTTATTTTGAAAATTTTTTTAGATCGATCTTTCTAAAAATTTTTCAGAAATATTGTAGAATTTTTTTAACAAAATTTGGAATAATTTTTGAAAAACACAATTTAAAAATAAGTTTGAAATTGTGTTTTTCAAAATTTATTTTAGATTGTATTTTCTGAATTATAAATTTAAAAGTTTAAAATTTATTTTTGGATTGTATGTTTTGGATTATATTTCTAAAAATTATAATATAAAAATAAGTCCAAAAATTATAATATAAAAATAAATTTTGGATTGTTATATTCTAAATATATTTCTGAAAAATAAAATCTGAAAATGAGTTTTGGAATAATCTATTAAAAAATTATTTTTAAATTGTATATTTATAAAAAAAATGTATTTTGGATTCAATAATTTAAAACATCATAAATGTAAATTAAATATAATTTTTTTTGTGTGTGTGATTTTTAAGTATACAACATATTATGTAATTCAAAACATAATTTACTGACAAATTTTTAATTGAAAATAATATTTGATGAAACCCATGAGATGCAACAAATAAATATGCAAATGCTGGTATGAATGTGTGGTACGGAAGAGAAAAGTTAACCTCAATAATATTTTTGACATTTACAGAGATGAAATTATTGAGATGGAGGGAAAAATAGTTTGTTGTGTATAGTAAATTAAAGAACATTTTCTTGTCATTTTAAAATAATAATAACAAATAAAGATGTCAAAAGTCTTTCAGTAGGCTTTCTAATTTTTATCTTCTTTAAAAAGGCATCGCATTATTTAGAAAGTTGGTTGGATAGAACGATTTGTTGGAATAAAGATATTTGATTAGCTAAATTATAGGTTTGTATAGCGGTACAAAATATTGTATAATCAGAACTTCCTATATTTAGTCCCGATTTGTTAGAGTAAAATACTATAAGATCATAATATATGTGTACAAAAATAATATAAATAAAAATATATAATGAATTCTATGTTTTTCAATTTGGTATCAGAGCTTATAACTTTTTTCTTTTTCTTTCAAAATCCTTGGAGATCCTGATTGAGATTTTTAGGGAATTGGACCATCATGACAAAGTAGTCATAAAGGACCCTGATGATGTGAAGTCATATCAGAAGTTCATTGAAAGATTAAGGGTGCATATATTCCTTGCTGGACTAGATGATGATTTTGAGTAAGTTCGTGGAGAAATCTTGCACAAAGAAGTGACATCTGATTTAGAAGAATGATATGCATTGATCCGGAGAGAGACAGTCCGATGAACAACGTTGAAAACAGAAGATATGATTTCTGATTCCACAGCTATGATGACAAAGAAGCAGCCAGCAAATCACCACAAAAAATCGAAGCAATCAAAAGATTTTGAAAAAGGTAACTACAAGTGTACTCAGTATAATAAGGATGGACACACCAAGGAACGATGCTATGAAATCATAGGATACCCCGAGTGGTGGGATCATAGTCGAGCATTGAAGAAGAATTAAAAAAGAAATCCAACGGTTGCTGCTGTAACTGCCATTGACAAAGAGGACGACAAATGCATGATGTTTGCTACAATCGCAGGTAGTGATGATTCTAATGGTAAGACTTTAATAAGCACATCTACCGTTCTGAATAATGTATGGATAATTGACTCTTCATGTTCTGATCATGTGAATTTTGATGTTAGACAAATTAAAAATCTTAAACCTTCCTCACAAAAAAGTATATCCACAGCCAATGGTAGTAAATCCACTATTATTGGAGAATGAACTGTCTCTATTTCAAACAATTTGAATATTGATACTATCCTTGTTGTTCCTTCTCTTAAATATAACCTATTGTCAGTCTCACAAATAACCAAAACTCTTTTATGTGTTGTAATTTTTGGGTCTGACTCTTGTGTTTTTAAGGATATTCAAACGAGGAAGACGATTGGTTGTGGTATTAGGCAAGGAAGGTTGTATTACCTGGACCTGACAGAAAAAGATTCAAAGAGACTTGGTCAAGTGCTAGCAACAAAAGGGTCTCAAGAAGTAAAAAAAGGCGAGGATATCTGGTTATGGCATAAACGTCTAAGACATGCATCTTTTGGTTACATAAAGAAATTATTTCCAAATATATTTGACCAAGTAGACACTTTAACTTTTTATTGTGATGTTTGTGAGCTTGCAAAGAGTCATAGAACACATTTTCCTTTAATTTTAAATAAAAGTTATCTTCCTTTTATGATCATTCACTCTGATGTATGAGGTCCATCTAAGGTTACAACGTTGGGTGGCTCAACGTGATTTGTAACGTTTATTGATGATTGTACTCGAATGACTTGGTTATGTTTGATGAAGTCTAAAAGTGAAGTTAGAGGACTATTTTAGAAATTCTGCAAAATGATTGAGACCCAGTACAAAACACAAATTTAGGTACTGCGCAGTGACAACGGAGGAGAATATATGTAATCAGAACTTCAACATTTTTTAGTAGCCAAAGGAATTGTTCATCAAAGATCTTGTCCAAGTACTCTACAACAAAATGGGGTGGCAGAACGAAAAAACTGTCATCTATTGGAGGTGGTCCGAGCTGCACTAATTGGAGCTCACATGCCAGCAATATATTGGGGAGAGGCTCTCACATATGCAGTATACACTATCAACCGAACACCGTCCAGGTCTCTTGAGTATAAAACACCTCTTCAATCACTTACTGATGCAGTAGTAAGTCCTAAAATTGCTGAACTAACACATAGAGTTTTTGGTTGTGTTGCTTATGATCACTTACACAAGCATCAAAGAAGTAAGTTATCTCCTAGAGCTGAAAGATGTGTGTTCCTTGGCTATGCGGATCACCAGAAAGGATATCGGTGCTACAATCCACAAACCAAACAAATGTTTATTACTATAGATGTAGTTTTTCATGAAACCTTGATATATTTTTCCCCCGAGTCTGAAATTCAGGGGGAGAATTACGATGAAGTTCAGACTTTTATTCCTCAAGAAATTGATATTGAGATCAGATTGAAGAAAGAAAGTTACAAAGTTGTATCAAGAGATGATGAAAAGATGCAACAATGTTATGATTAACAACCACATAATGAGGAAGATTTTGAGCATGTTGAGATCGAAAATTTGTTTGTTGATGCTAATGATATACCACATCAATCGTCTCCTCAAGAACCTAATACAGAAAAAAGAATTCTGCCAGATCGTGTGACTAGAGGTATCCCTAAGCCTACTTATGATCCTGACCTCACCAGTAAGACAAGATACCCTATGAGTAATTATGTTTGTAACCAAATTTTGTCTAACTCAAATATTGCATTTATAAGTCAATTATCTACTGTATCTATTTCTAACAGTGTGCAGGAAGCTTTAGCTGACTCCAAGTGGAAGGATGCTATGAATGAGGAGATAAGATCCTTGCAAAGAAATAAAACATGAGAATTAGTATATTGTCCAGTTGGAAAGAAACCAGTAGGATGCCGATAGGTGTATACTGTGAAATTTAATGCAGATGGCACAATTGAGAGATTCAAAGCTAGATTAGTGGCAAAGGGGTACACACAAGCATATGGAATAGATTACACTGAAACGTTTGCTCCCGTAGCCAAAATTAGTACAGTTCGAGTATTGTTATCTCTAGCTGTAAACCTTGATTGGTCCTTACAATAATTTGACGTAAAAAATGTCTTCTTACACGGGGAATTGTCTGAAGAAGTTTATATGGAGCTACCAGAAGGATGTGGGATCCCGAATACACATAGCAAGAAGGTATGCAAGTTGAAGAAGTCATTGTATGGACTAAAACAATCGCCACGAGCATGGTTTGGTAGATTCACCAAGTCAATGCTTGCTTTTGGATACTAACAGAGCAACCAAGATCATACCTTGTTTCTAAAGAAAAAGGAAGAAAAGATTACAATTCTTATTGTCTATGTTGATGACATGATAGTTACGGGAAACGATCTAGAGGAACGCAAGACATTGAAAGAGTACTTGACAAAGGAATTTGAGATGAAAGATGTTGGTCCTTTGAAATATTTTCTTGGAATTGAGGTCTCGAGATCAAAGTCATGTATTTTTCTCTCACAACGAAAGTATGCATTGGATTTACTAAAAGAAACTGGAATGATAGCATGCAAACCAACAAATTCTCCAATTGAAGAGGGATTGAAGTTGTGCATTGAAGAAGATCAAACTTCAACTAACAAGGGAAGATATCAGAGACTTGTAGGGAGATTGATGTATCTCTCACACACTAGGCCAGATTTATCTTA